ATTTTGGATATCAGAATTATCGGTCCCATCCCCAAATGCCGCCATTTTAGCAAGGGTATCCGCTCTTTCATTTCCTACAATTCCACTGTGTACTTTTATCCAGTGTAATTTAACAATATGTTTTCTTTCAGCCTTTTTAAATAAGTCTTTTATTTCATTAATTAGTGGATTTTTATGATCTGGTTTGGGCGAGTGCCTGAAGCGCAGATAGGGCATCAGTATAAATATTTATAAAACATCGAACTGTTAATTTTTTATGAATCCAATTCAAAGCCTCTGTCTATGCGTATAGTTTCGCTTGATAAACTGAATTCACTGGTTTAAATTTTATTCTCACATTTTCTATTTCCCCTCCATGAAAATAAATTGCCACAGCGCTGCCCACTCCCCCATCATTTCCAGAACCATCTGTAAAAACATCTATTTCGCCTCCAGAAGGAAACTCAAGATCATAAAATAATCCAAATCGTGTCGTTGGGTGAATAATATCCTCATTCTCTTGTTGAAAGGCCTTACTTGCGAGTACTTTTTGTTCAATTTCAGTATCTGTAATAATTTTTTTAGCTAATGGAAACTTTTCGTAGTATAATTTGTATAGAATCGAGAGAGGCGGAACACCCGCAAGGACGCAGACAACTTCAGTTGAAACGGTTCCGAAGGCTCTTGTAATGGCAAGCCCCCAGCCTCTCTGCAGGGTGTCTAATTTCATTGTAATCCTAAGTACCTCCTCTGCCCAACTCCCCAAGCCCTAAGCTCCGATTCCATAAAATATTTTAGGGAGGATCGCATTTCTAAAAATCTCTCTCAGGGTGAAACTCTTTCTATTCAAAGTATCAGTACTAAAATTATACTTATAACATTTTAAAATGTTATCTGTGATTCTGTGTATATGCTTAAAATGTTCCGCAAAACTCAATTTGCTAATATAACTCCTAGATATTTCATATTTTCACCAAATTTGATACGATTACCCTTAAATTTCAATTGTGTGGGGGGGGGGCTAGTCTTTCTCCACCCCGAGGGAAAAAAAGTCCACAAGTTTTTCTATTATTAAAATATATTTTTTCTCTATCACTCTATTCTTTCAATTCATTTTCTACTTTTTTAAATACTTTCTCCATTTTTTCAAAAGAGTCTTCCTCCACCATAACCAATATATTGTTGGCATAACAAACAATCTCAGAGTTCGAAATATTGACTTTCTGCAGTAAGTCATTAACAATGAAGCCCCAGAACAGAGGACCGCTGCAAGAGCCTTAAGGGCATCCTTTGTAAATGTCAAAAACCAGGTTCAGATTATCAGATGGGCCCTTAAAAACCATCTTTTGCCTTTTAAAGTAACTTTTTATAAGTTTATACATATTCTTAGTAATTCCAATATTCTTCAAGTGTCGCATCAGGGAGAACCACCTTACATTATGGAACGCACCCCTGGCGTCAAATGAAATCAGAGCCAATGCTTAGTCTTTCTAATACCAGATATGACTCTATAAAGAGCCAATTCGGTTGACCTTCCCTTTCTAAAACCAAATTGCCTTTCGGAAATAATATTATTCTTATTTAAAATATATTGCAGTCTATTAGCTAAAAGTTTATCATAAATCTTTGCAAATGTTTTCTGTAGGCAAATTGGACGAAATCCTTTATCCTTTGAAATCAAGATTAATTTTCCAGTTTTCCATACATCTGGAAATATCCCTAACTTCAAGCATCTATTGTATAACCGCCCACCAGCGGCCGAGCGGTAAAGTCGCTGAACACTGGTAGTTCGGTCCGAGGTTCGAATCCCGCGAACGGGCTGGCTGCATGGGCGTTTTCGTGGTTTTCCCCATGTGTAACGTGTATACGAGCCAGTTTCCCTTAGAAAGTCCTCCACGAAAGGCATCCCTCCCTTTAGGCAGATAGCCCTCGAGGCTTTGCCATAATCACACACACACACACACACACAACACTATTGTATAACCCTATGAAAAAGGAAGGACGATCCTCAAACAATATCTTTAACTATGTGACCCCGATCCCATCCAACCCAGGAGTAGACCTTATCCGTAGACTTTTCATTGCAGTCAGAATTTCATTATAAACAAAGTCTTTCTTCTCTTCATCTTCCTCCATAATAATTTCTTCTTCATTTATATCCTCATTATAATCCTTAAGATATAAAGTTTCTTCGATAATTTATTTGTAATTGTTCTCAATAGACGCCGTCGGGCATCGCTATCTCTCTCAATAATCATTTTTGTTTTCATTTCAGCGGTGGCGACTCTAAAGAATACATTATAATAATTCACATCTCTCATAAACAGATCATTTTTATATTCTTTCCTCGTGTGCTTGATAAGACTTTTATTTTTTGCAAGGTTTCTTTTATATTCGATTTTTCGCGCAATCTTGATATCATCTCTCAATCCTTTTATTTGTGTCCTTTTACGTGCCGCTCTTATTGTCTTCGTATTTTATCCAGTTCCGAATTCCCACCTGGGAGTTCTTTCCTCCCTCTCTTTCTTCCGCACACTCAGCGTTTTCCACATTTGTGTTATAATATGATTCTCAATATGTGAAACCACTTTATTAAGTTCATCTTCATTCTTAGATTTCAGTATCTCATTTTCCATTTCTAATAAATCCTTTTTCATATTTCTACTAAATCTCTTAATTCTATTAATATATATCTATGGTCACTAAGAGAATCCTCATCCAAAATATCCATGTTAACTTCCTGAGTATTAAGCCTTGGCGAACCCAAGACTAAATCCGTTCAACCTTCTCCCACTGAGGAACAAAATGTAGGTCTGGAATCTGAGTCATTTACTAAAATCAAACCATTTTGTGCAATAAAATCGTCGGTTAAAAGTCCCCTTGCATTCTACCACAGGTACCCCCCAGCTAAAATGTTTTGAATTAAAATCACCTTTAATAATATAATCATTTTCATCATCATATATATTTAAAATCTCTTCCGATCTAAATAAATGTGCATTCAAGTCCTCAGCAGGCGAGAAATAAACTGAGACGATACCGAATTTTTTTTCCCAAAAGAGTACAGATATTGCCACTATAGTATCCCCAACAGCATCCACTCGAATATCAAATTCGGAATTGCACACTACAATTGCGGCTCTTTCCATTTTATCATTAATTACTCTTCATTTATGGTAAGATATGTGATCTCTGTTAATGATAGAATGCCTGAAACCTCGAAAATATATTACTTTGGCCTACGTGTTGCTGCAAATATTGCAGTGACCTTCACTTTATTTACCTTATTTTGGGGGTTCAGGACGTTTGCGAAATGTCATGTTTTATTGTCTGTTGTTTTGTTTATTTGATTATTCTTGAAAATTGCGTGGAAAATGTCGTTGGGATGTCTGGTATCTTTCCGTGCAAGTTGAATAAGTACGGTTGAGGAGAATAAATTACATTTATAAAACAAAAGTACTAACATATCAAATAAAGTTAATTCGAAAAAGGTTTTAAAAAAAGATGAAAATGAGCTTAATTCTCGTTGCTAATTCTAGATCCTTTTTTCGAACTATTGTGTTTACATATTGCACTTTGTAACTGCAGTTATCCTTTAATATTTCTTTTTTACTTGGCCTGGCAGGCAAAAACTCTCACCAATACTTAACCATATATTAGACGTTGTATAAAGTATCACGCATTAGCATGTGGCCGAGTGATTGAGTTTTCAGAGAAATAAAAATTTATAAAGATGGTTAGCATTAACGATGTTTTCTTACCCCATAATAATGCTTTGGTCTTCACTTTGAATTAGCGAATAGGCATAGACGTTTTTAACAGTAGTATTTTTACAGAATCTGGGCACTTAAGTTATATAGATTTGAAAGTAGAAGGGAAAGATTTTAATATTTTTGGACTCTGTTCTCAAAAACTGTCTTGATCAACAATGAGGGGGAATTGTACTAGGGTTCGTTAATAAAATTCCATACAACGACAATGCACTAAATTCTCCTCCTATCCTAGCCATTGTTATTCCTGAAGCTCTCCATACTTAGTATTACAGTAGGCCTTGAGCAATAGCAGAACAGCAATAACAGCTTTATAGATAAAATCTTCATACAGGAAAGTAAAACTTTTTTTATCACTATAAGGAATTTTTATCCCTATTTTGTACTTTAGTATAACATCTTTATTTACTTTTGCAAATTAAAAAACTTTAAAATATATATATTCTTGTTTTTTTATTATTTAAATCCAAAACTTTTGTTTTTAGTTTATATCACCGAATGCAAATTAGATCCATGACACACATTTTAATGTATATTTTTATCTTACCCTTTTCCAAACTTATAAAATTATATTCCTTTATTATCTTATATAATGTTTGTTCTTTTAGATATCTGAAGAACTAAATTTTTCTGTAACTAAAAATTCTTGTATAGGATAAAAGACTTAGGGTAATCATGAGCAAGGTTTGTCTGTTGGCTTGATTAGGGATTTTCGTTTTCCGAAATATCAATATTAATTAATGAATTTAAATATAATCGATTAATAAATACAACGCAATTAAAAGGAATTTATTGATTAGTTATGCATTAATTCATGAACATTATTAAATTTAAGTTATGAATAAATTTTAATTAATAAATACAATTATTATCCAATAAAATGTTATACTTCTTATTTAAAGTTAAATATATTATTGCTACAAATGTTCTAAATTTGAAAGTTCTGAACATTGTTTCTTCTTACGAAAATGTTTTTCATAGTAACTTGTTCCACTGATGGATTTCATTTATAAAATTCTGTAGTGTCTTCTGATGCAATTTCTTCCTCTTATTTGCAAGGAAATAGAGAATTTTGGTATAATTACGCATTACCTGAAAGAACCTTGTCCTTAATTTGGCATGGTATAGTTGCTTTTATATTTTTAAAGATACTACGGTATTTCATAAATTATTATCCTTTTCTAAAATTACGTATTCAAAGCAGTTTTTCTTTCATTCCGCTGCGAATAAAATGACATATTTTCTTTTTAGTATGGTCACCGAGCAGAAAACGAGCCAATCTTCATCTCAACTGTAATACACAGAACAAGACCGAAGAGCCTCAAAAAGAGCAGTTGGCTTCTTCTCCAGAAAGTACCAAAAAAAACGAGAAGGAAAAAGAAGAGACAAGTCCAGTTTGGCAGCCTTTTGGAGCTCCCTATGATGGTCCCCAGTTCCGACCCATCAAGCTGGAGATGAGCAGTACGAAAACTACCGCTGTCTCTCAGGTAAAACTGAGTACTCAAACTGCGTGAAAAATTGACTTGTGTTCGTTAAATAGGAGGATAATTAACCGAACAACATTAATTCTTTTAGTATTAGCAGTAGAACAGTGTGTATTGTGTTATAATTTTATACTGAAAAAAAAACTGAATATTTCTTTAATATCTCAAAACATTTATTAAATGCATTATTGGTAATGCAAATAATATTAAACATACCGAGCTTCCAAGATAATAAAAACATGTGCTTAATCTGTTGTAGGTTCCTTTCTGGCCATACTGAAAATTTACGTTGGTTTAGAGCACTCAGAAGGATCTCAGCAAATAAAATATGGATTCAACATTGCAACAAGTTCGTGATTAGTCTTGTCCCATGATTTCTGGTTCCATGATTATAATCGAAGTTCCTGTAGTTCTTTTAAATCACGCGATTGAAGTAATGTTTCTTTTAACCATTTCTTTAACTCAAACCTCAGATACTAGATTTACGGTGAATCTAAAGGCCATTAGAAATAAACAAAATTCCTATTGATTTCCTTGGAACTATTCTGTTCACTTTTTCGTCAATGTGATTGGAACTGTGTCTTATTCAGAAATATTATCGTCACCTGGGTATACAATAAACATAAACGGATGGCACTTCGTTGTCCACAACTCTTCGATAGGAATGATGTGTCTAGTTGCCTTTCCAAAAAAATATAACCCTGAGCTTCAACCTCATTATTTACGCCTGGATTCGTCCAAACTATATCCACATCAGAAGGCATCGTTTATTAATTTTTGCTCACAGTTTCGCTCATTTCATTCACGTGATGCAACAAAACCAAATCATTAGTAATCCAAAATTGGTATTTACTTGTAGAGCCCAGTATATAAACTTCTATGAAAACTGGAGTAGCAGGAAATTCTACAAGAAAAGGGTTAAAGTACCCTTTATTAAATCTTTGAAAACTTGCAATGCGTCAACTCGACGCTAACAAACTTCGCCTCTACTTGGGCGGTAACTGAAAGTCAGATAATTGAAACTAAAAGTTGAGATATTAACAAGAGATAGAATTAACCTACAGGGCTTAGCGATATCCCGTAACTTAAACCCCCTTCGAAGCTAGTGGCATCAGATAAATGCAATTAAGCCACTTGAACCAGCAATAAGCAAACTTATCTACGGCAGAGGTGGCGGCCAGAGCCACCTTTCTACTACCGAAATTCGGCTTTTAAATACTTCCTTCAAAGTAGAAATTTGTACCTTTATTAAAGTACCCTTTATTAAATCTTTGAAAATGCAATTAAGCCAGCAATAAGCAAACTTATCTACGGCAGAGGTGGCGGCCAGAGCCACCTTTCTACTACCGAAATTCGGCTTTTAAATACTTCCTTCAAAGTAGAAATTTGTACCTTTATTAAAGTACCCTTTATTAAATCTTTGAAAATTTGCAATGCGTCAACTCGACGCTAACAAACTTCGCCTCTACTTGGGCGGTAACTGAAAGTCAGATAATTGAAACTAAAAGTTGAGATATTAACAAGAGATAGAATTAACCTACAGGGCTTAGCGATATCCCGTAACTTAAACCCCCTTCGAAGCTAGTGGCATCAGATAAATGCAATTAAGCCACTTGAACCAGCAATAAGCAAACTTATCTACGGCAGAGGTGGCGGCCAGAGCCTAACTCTCTCCTTTCTACTACCGAAATTCGGCTTTTAAATACTTCCTTCAAAGTAGAAATTTGCATTCCTTCACGCGCGCTACAACATTTAACTATTTTGGCACTAACAATTACGGGAATGAAGGCTTATAGAAAAGTTTCAACTTAAACTTGTTAGTTAAAATAAATATAAATCCCTACATACTGTAGTCGTTTTCTGCAGTGAATCGCTATAGACATACACTCCCGATGAGTTGGAAGAGCCAATACAACAAAGTGGTTGCTCGGAAATGGTGGTCTCATAATCCTGATTGAACTTACGAATAATACTAGCAACAGTATCCCTCTTGGTGCTGTAGACAAGATGAATTATCTTGACTTTGCTCCCGGCAAGACAAAGCCGTAAAGTATGGCGGCTAGCTGATGCTTTGCTCACGACTCGAAGTATTTCTTATTTCAGATAATCTTAAATAATTTTAAAATTATCATATACCGGGAACAGTCTGCCATTGTTGCTGTTTCATAAATGCTGCTCAGCGACTTGTTCAAAATCAAGAGTTCAAGTATATTTGCATGCTGAATCGAATCGAAATACTGACTGAATCATATTTCTAAGATTTATTTTACCACTCTCCGAAACAGAATGTCTCTAGTTCTGCTGAAGTTTTAATGAAATACAAATACGATATACATATGATAGTTCATATTCAAGCATAAAGCAGTCGCTTAACAATGCAAAAATATATATCAAATATTTGCAGAAGTTTATAGCAATTCAAAACAAATATATTCAAGAATTTATAGCAGTATTTTGATAAAGAGTTTGAATGTAAGACTCTCAGTGTCGTATATAACGTATTAGTAAAACATAGCTCCAACACCATTAAAAATATTTTAGCACAAACAGTAATTGCTGAATCGTATTTTTATCATTTTTTCCTTACAGTCTTTTAATTATATTGTTCGTTTTCCTCTATTTTTTTCACCTCCTTAATGTCTGCTAGTATCTGCTAGTGCTAGTATACGTTTATAAAAAATGGTTTAGTTCAAATTATAATATATAATTATCTTTTTCTTTAAATTTTAGAGCAACCAACCAAAGACAAACGAAACTACAGAAAGTAAAACTGACTCTGGTGCTTCGAGTCTACAAAGTCAAACAGGCACCGCATCGACAGCTGACTCCTCGGACAAGAAAACAGAAAGAGATTCATCTTCTCAAACCACAACCCCTACGACCACATCTACAACTTTCACGAAGACTGGATGGACCAGCAATTTACCACCCTCTCAGAGTCCTACCATAACTTTATTGCAAAAAGCCAGAGGTGATTTCTTGGGGTTTTTGTTTTCAATGTTATATGATGCTTTGTTTTTGAATAAGTATGATAAAAGTTAAATTATATAATTTTTCTTTCCAGAGGGACAGTTACCGAAAGGAGCAATCTATATTGATGAAAAGTCTACTGATTCAGGTTTAATATTATTTTTTATTGCATTTACATTTCATAAGCTGTTAAGTTATATATAAATGAAAGTAGTACTATGCATTATGTTCAAGAACTAACTTCTTACCAACGTATTACTAAATATACAGAATGAAATTTATAGATTAAACAAGAATTTTTTCCTTTGAAAGGACTTTTATCTAAGCGTTACCATTTTTAGGAAAGGAACTTTTTTTTTCTGAAAAATTTTTAATCACTTAAATTGTCTAGTGAAATTATGAAACATTTATGAGATTGTGTTCATTACATTGATTAAAGTGAATCATGGAAATACAATCTAGTTTCTCTAGAACTCTTGTACAAATTATCATTGAAAATAAATATTTATTTATAGTATCGCTAGTGTAGTAATAATCCGGAATTTAAATGGATTCATACAAATCATCCATAGGAACATCACTATGAAACATTTCGTTTCGGTGAATGTGCAGTAGAGTAAGCCGAAAAAACACACTCGTATTTTTTTAAATTTTTCTATCTCTATACCACGAAAAAGTTTACTATCGCTGAGCTAAGCAAAATGGAGAAAAAATCAAAATAAAATAAAATAAAATTTTTTCCTTTGCATCGCACTTAAAATTTTGAGAAATGGAGAAATTTTGATGCTTTACGTCAATTTTTTATAGTTATTGAACTGACTACCATCGAAACTCTGTAGTTCCTAATGGGAACTATGGAGCATGAGTAACACGAAAAAAAATTAAAATTTGTAATTTCAAATTATTTATTGTTTGTGCAAAAGGCTCCAAAAACGCAATTTTTTGTAAAATTAGTAATTTGTATTTTTTGATGAAAAATGTTTTTAAACTTTAAAATATCATGTAAATATATTGTGTAATTTTAAACAGTGGATATGTTGTAAATACTATTACGTAAATATGTAAGTGATAACTAATTCAGCCATGTTCATGTCATTGACAGAAACAAAATAAATAAGAAAAGGAAAAGCTTATAATAACAGAAATGATTTGCACAATCAGTCTGTTAAAGAAACACTACGTGGTCCATACTTAAATGGGAGAAAAGACGACGCAATGGTAATAAATAATTGTAAAAATAATTCAAAGCGTTTTCGAAGAACTTAAAGGAACATTGTTCTCTCATACAAGAATCAGAATATATAGGGCAGAAATCCCTAAAGATACAGCTTCTTCCATAATTTCTCATTTGACTATAAATGAAATTACTTTTGAAGAACTTGATGCGATAAGGAGTGACAAAAATACAGTTAATACTGATTTGAAAAGTGGTATGATCCACCTGATCTAACTGCATGTTGAGAGACTACTACAGTAGGCTATACGTCTCCTACACTTCAATGAACTGCAGTTCCGTTACCTATTTCATCACTTGGATGATAGTATTACCACAGGCTCCAAATTCTTTATCCGATCGGGAAAAACTCGCTGGCTGTGAAAAACGTCCACTGATTCTCTTTGAACTTGTTGAATTCTTTATTCCTTAATTCAAAATGAAAGTGTTGATCAAGGATCAGTTTTACTAGCAAGATATTTCTATTGCCGTAAAGTCAAATACAGTTTTTGAAGATGCAGCAGTTCATGATTCTGGTCCGTTTTCACACTCAAGACCATAACAAATCGAGTTCTCAGAGTTTATGTGACCTAATAAAAATATACTGATGAAATTCGGCAGTTGATATATTTTATTTTGAATTGTTACATGCTTCTCTGGTTCAAAATCAAAATCAAGAAAAATTTCACAGACCGTTCAAAGATAGTTTTGGAAACCATGAGATTAACACGATATCTAACTTAAAGTTTACTGCAAGTCATCAATCCGGTAATTCAACGGAATTCATTCTTGTTTTCCCAGTCATACTTTTTCTTTGCTCATCTCGAAAATTTGATCCTTGCAATGATTTTGCATGAAAGAAGACATATCGGAGAACTAGAGCAACGCCAATTGTTCAATGCTTGATCCATTTTTAAGAGGAAAACTATTCGAAACTTCACGAAGCTAAAACTCAACTTACCAGACCAACAGACTATGTCAATATGTTTGGTGTGATAGTTGAAATATCTGTCCTTCTCTATTATTAAGAAACATTACGGATGAGGGCATCAAAAATATGTTAAAGGCTGGCGTTTCGCTGCAGCCTGATTTCCAAGGACTCGTATTTTAGTCGCTGTCATACTCGTGCTGTAGAACGGTTTATAAAACTTTTGACCGAAGCATCTAACAAGGTGTCTGACTTTGACGCAAGAGACGGCTTGGTTAGGACGACCCTCCTATCAAGATGTATCATCTCAGGAAAAAAAAAATTTAGGTGCACTATTTTGAATAACAAAATTATAAATCGTGAATATATCCACCGTTCCTTTACTAAAAATGAAAAAGTAGAATTATCAGAAATTACAAAATATTGCTATTTTTGCAAAAATTGTTTTGAGCGTTTTGCGCAAGCAATAAATATTTTGAAAATACTGATTTTATACTTTTTTCTTGTTCCTCATGCCCCCAAATTCACACTAGGAACAAATTCATTTCCATAATAGCGAGTTTAGTAATGATAAATGGATTAAAAACAGCAAAGTTTCACTATTTTTAAAACTTTTGAGTGTGTTCCGCGAACGGAAGCTATATTTTTGCATGAAAACGTTTATTTCATTTTGCATAGCTAGGCGTCAAGCAAATTTTCCGGTTTATAGTGATAGAAAAAATTAAAAAAAAATTTTTTTTGGTCCATTTGAATGCGCAGTGTACTGCGATGCAATCAGCTTAACGATGCATAAAATTTGTTAAAGGCTTGAACAGTTTTATTGTGCTGCTTAATCCATCAGAAAGCTCTTGATCGTAATGAGAACAGTAAGTTTAGAATCGAAAGAATGGAGGCATTGAATTTTACAAGGATATTAAGAAGTATCTTGATTTTGGAAGGATACCAAGGAAGGAGCGCTAAAATACCATTTCGGAGAAAAATTTCAAAAGATGTTCGTCATGCGCTTGGTGCCCATTTCTTTTGCAGCCACAGTCATTAATCCTCCACTTAGTAGAAGAACCTTCAAACAGTCGATAGTCTCAAATTTCTTGCCTTCTTTAATCCTGCAGCAGTCATTGGTCTATTCTGCGTCTCGTATCCTCTAACATAAAGATCGTAAAGCTGCAGTTGTTGTTTCCTTATTAGGATAAAAAAGGCTTCCCAAAAGTGCTTAATGAAATATTCACGACATAATTTAATTATATTAATTCATACCCATGAAATGCCTAATATAACTGGCGTTTCTTTGGCATCCACTATGGTACAACGCCATCTGTAAAATGTTACAGTTGTAATTGGATAATTTATGTAAATAATGCTTTCAAAAAATTCATTATATGAATTTCTGGATTGATTATAATAATTGTGTTTTGCAAATTCACAGAACGACAAAATCTTTTAAACATTTAGACTTTTAAATCAGTCTACGTATGAAATAAGAAAAAGGATAACAATTTTTATTCAGAACCAAACAAGTTTAAAATCACGTATCTGTATCATACCAAATCCACAAAAATTCAACATTTGTCGTTTTGCAGGTTTTAGTTTTTTATAGATAAGTTATTTTGCTATACTTTACGCCATACGAAATGAGAGAGAGAGAAATGCATGTTAAAGATATTTATGTAAAAGCCATAATTCAGCTATCTGACTTCGAAAATTGAAAGGCTTTAAATGTCACGTTACAGTTTTGTGATTTTTGTAAATATTCCTTATCGTGTAATAACTACAATTGTTTTAATATGTTTTCCATATCCAACAAGATGTCGTAGTTCAAATAGCAGTCTATACGTTTAATTTAATTTTAGCATCAGATTACTAAGCCCTCAGGTTTTAATGAAAAATCGCAGTAATATTAATACTTTTGTGTATTTCACGCTTTCAGGTAGCTGAGATACAAACGCCGCTAGGAAGGGAAACTCATCTGATATATTAAGCATTTGACTTTTATCCATAATAGATTCAGGAAGATGAATTTGACTGACTGGTTTATGGTTTGGACAACAGAAATTTATCCATATCTTTAATCACGGAACGACTAATATAATGCATAGGGTTTTTTAAGATCCTGCGTTCTAGAAGACGTTAAAAATCCATCTTCAATGGGTAGGCTTTCAAAGCTGATTAGTTTTAAGTAAACAGTGTTCTATACCACTTCAGACTACTCTTACGAATATAGTCGCATTTATTTAGCAAAGAAATATTAGTTTATTTTTTCTTACCAATTAAACATGTTTCTTTATAGCTTTTGAAATGCTTCAGAACATATTTATAAATATTGCAAAATTTGTTTCCAGACTTGAATTTGATTTATTTGCTATTTTTAGCTGCTCTGCCGAAGAACGCCATTCTTATTGATCAGAAAGTGACCATTGACGGGGACAAGGTCCATACAGACAGCTACTATGCTGTACCGACAGTAACAACAGAATCTACGACGCACACTATCAAAGCACCGCCAAAGTATGAGGGAATTGGTCCTACAGAGCATGGAATTCCAGTCAGTCTCAGAACGGTGAGATACATGACTTTTATGACCCACTTGGTTTGCATACCTAGAAAAATATTTATTTCGTGCTTCAGTAATTTAAATAGTTTAATGAATAATCGTTAATTGATTCGTTTTATATACTATTTTAAATTTGAGGTGACCGACGACTAACCAATACTAGTACTTCGAAATATACAAGACTAGGCTGAGGATCGTGAATGCTCTTTTAATGAGGTAACACCACCAGACTGCGGCATTTCCCAAAGATTCCTTGTAAATTAATGGATTTGTTCATTCTTTAAAAATATATTATTTTTAAGCTACTGGGTGATCACGGAGAGTGCCAGTTTGAATATAAACATACAGGTAATGTTCTGATTTATTTATTTACAAGATAAGGGGGAGTGGGTGTGATTGATGCTGGAATGAATTATTTTGTTTCTTTTTTCTTAAGTACTTTTAAATAATCGGACATCCGCAAACAGCCTGGGCACATGTATATAGCTTGAAAACCAGAAGCGATAACTATGGAAAGGTCAGTTCATTTATGTTAAATTCATATATCATTAAAATTCATGTATGTTCTCAATTAACGCCTTAGGTCCTCATTTTGCTAACTAGCACTCTTATTGGATGAATGTTAAGTCTTTTGACAGAGTACCAACAAAGGTTGCATTGTACATTAGTAAGACAGTAGCAAGGAGATTTCCAGTTGCTCGCTATGTGTTATTATTTCATATCTTTCTTAACTTGTTATGCATTCAGTAATGTTAGTAAATTACTGAAATTCTTTTCACCTTATTCTCAATGCTTTAGTTCGTATGTAACGTTTCTTATTCCTTACAGTCATTCAAGGCACTTTCTCCAGCTTCTGAATTTAAGAGTAGCTGTAATAAATTAATGAGTATAATGATAAGACAATAGCATATTAATGAGTTACTGTGATAAAAAAGTATTACCCTCCAAAGGTAAGGAAAGAATAATTTTTAGAACATAACTTTTTTAAAAAGCAAGATAAAAGCATTAAAATTGATACATACGTACGATTACATGTTGCATGTTAAAAAGGCAGTACATGTTTTATCCCTGGAAAAAAATGTAGAATATAGTTATCAGAAAACATACAATGAATGAAATCCGAAGAAAATGCGTTTGGGCTGAAATAAACGAAAAAGAAATTTTAAATACTGAATATGCCTTTCTCTAATTGAAATGCAGGTTTGACAACCTTTCTCCATTCTACAGATCAAGCTCTCAGAAACTTCTTTTTGGGAGGAAAGACCAGCATGTTAAAATCCCCATTACCCATTTAAGAGTCTTGACAGGCCAAAAGGCTGCCTGTTTCCTAGTGTCGTCGCACGCGTTTTTAATGAGATTAAAGTCCTGAGATTGAGATCGGGAGTCATGTTCATTCGCTGACGGTACTAATCATTTATATTTACCATTAGAGGTTGGCAATTGTCATCCAATAAAATAAAAGAAAATATTTTAGCAGCATATAATTTTATGCAAGAGTCCAGTAGTTCTGCCTTTACGCCTGAGTTGTAGCAGATCTCTTTGAAACACAAGTTTCACATATACAATGTGTCCTCTTAAATTGGTTTTTGGCCAAAAATGCTGCAGCTTTGGTAAGTATCCCCTTTAGTAATGTTCAAATTTCTGTATCATGTTAATTGCTTTCTTTTCAGATTACAACAAGACCTAAATCACGCTGTAATGAGACCCTGGGCTCATATGCAAAGAGAAATGAGTGCCATAGCTTTCTACTTCACATGCTGTTCTTTCTTGCCCATCTCAGCTCCTATGCTTTATCTAAAGAAATGAATGGAATACAATTAATAACTATGTTGGCAAACAGTTCTGTATGCGTACACTCTTCTTATAACAAAAGCGGATATTTCTTTTCTTGTATATAGAAAATGATAGGCAAAATGTTAAGCTTGAATCGTGTTCTATCCGAGAAGAGAAAGGAAATGGTCCTTAGAATGAGATTTCATTGATGGACGGCATGGAACTAGTCATTTCAGTACTGTACATTTTCTCAAAAACGTATCCAATTCTTGCCATTTGGTAATAGTCTGAAATATTAATTTGCTCGCTTGGCCTACCAACAGCCGTGCGGTAACTGAACATTGGCAGTTCAGTTCGGGGTTCGAATCACAGCGAACTAGCCGGCTGCATGGGCGTTTTCGTGGTTTTCCCCGTGTGTGACGTGTATACGAGACAGTTTCCCTTTGAAGGTCCTCCACGAAGGTATTCCTTTCCTTAGGCAGAGAGCCCTCGAAGGCTTTGCCAAATCAAATAAACCAAATCAAACACTATTGCCATTTTAGAAAGTGTCGAAATGATTTATTTAAGATAGCATTTAAATATTTCACAAAATTTTTATGGGCATTTTCAAAAAACACTAATATATTTCTGAATTACTATGTCGTTATACATGAAACATCATCACATACCCTTATCTTTTTTTTAAGTAGCAAATTTTCTAAATAAAGGATGATTCATTACTGTTGTATGTATTTTTATTACTCTTATCAAAGACCTGTTCTATAAATTTCAATTGGCATGCTTATAATTTATTTTTGAAATATTATAGTGGAAGAAACGTTTGCAGCTTAACATTTGGAGGGCAGTGTACTAATAAATGTTTCTGTAAGAAAACGTAAAACCAAATATAGCGTTACAACTAAAAACGCACCTATCAAATTAAGATTAATACTTGAAAAGAAGGCAAAAATGTCGAACAGTGCTGTGAAAATTAATTAGAATGTTCATTATATGCATGTTTTTATCATCAGCAGGAAAGGAACGAATGTTTCATGTATTGTACAACGGAATTTAATTCAATGCTTCAATTTTCAAACATTAATCTGAGCAGTAAAAACCATTCATGAAATTTATTGTCTTATAATGTAGTTGCAAAATGCAATAGTGTTTAGCAAATTTTCTTTTTTTTGAAAGGCAGAAGCATCCTTATATGCAAACACTGTCAAAAAATATACGATGTTTATAATCTGAAAAGTATCTCGAAAACAAATTTACAAGAGGGTTTTTTCAGGGGGCAGGCAAGGACAAAGTGTATTAGCTCAAGACACCAAATCTTTTTAGAACGACGTCGAAGAACATATCAGATGCTTAAATAAATGTCACATCATGACAACTATGTAAAATATATTCATGACGACTATCATAAAATATAGAAATTAATTTAATAAATATATAATAAATTAATTACCATAATTAGCATAAATAATTTAATTAGCATTAAATATATTTTATGATAATTAAATTAATTATCATAAAATATAATGTTCAGCGTGTACAAAATATTATCAACGTATATAAATATTATCCTATATTATAATATAAATATTTTCCTAGCGGTCTTCATTTTCTCTTTCAGTTATTGAAGAACAAAGGAATTCTAAACAGCTGTCTAACTTTTATTTTGCTTATTATATATATAGTACATATGCGTTTATATATACATATTATATTACTTTGTTTATGAGTATATGAGTAGTACTGTTATATTTTGTGCTATAACGGTTGATGCGGAAGCCATGAACCTTTCGAGAAAAGTTGGAAGTGACATGTAACGTATGTGAATATGGTTATTTCATAAAAGCCTAAGACATTTTTATTTGATATACCATTATATTGTATGATAAATATCTGTCTGTAATATGATGGTTTATGCATGTAAAGCTTTTTATTTATATTAATGCATTGTATTATTTGTTTATGTTGATAAAGTATCCAACAGCGAAATTGTTTCGAATGGAAACCTCGATTATAAAATTGCCGATGAAAAACAGGACTCATTCATGATTATTATGTTAATTCTTGTTGTCAAATTAACTGTGTTTCTAAAATGTAACCAGTTTTTACCTTCCCTACAATTTTAATAATTTTGCCGTTTCTGCTAAATATTTTCATGCGAAAGTTTGTAAATGCTGTAGACGAAATTAGTAAATGTCATTAACTCAAAAAATTTTGTATTTTGTGCTTTTAAAATAAAAAGAAAAGAGCCGTTATAAACTTACGATATAAAAATTGAGATAAGTTACCGCTTTATAAGGTAGTCCATTCGCCACCGGAAATTGGAAATTCAGTCACATTTATCCTTGCGTATTTCCTTAATGTGTAGTGAGTTATGTTATCTTGTTAGCAATATTGAGCTTTATTTTTTGATATCTTAAAGACAATTTTCACTTTGGCAGGCCGTCAAAGAGGAATTTGCTAGCGACTGGTATAAGACAATGTACAAGTCTCTGCACAGGAATCGATATCCTGATGATAAATGTAAGTTCCTCTCTTATCAAGTATTTTTAGACGACATATTTCATTTTACTAATTAAAGAGGAAAAGGTGTTTGCTTTAATCCTTACTATTATGATAGTTTTTTTTCGTGCATGTGTTTTGGTGTTAGTTAGTTAAATAAATAAATAAATAACTTGCTCTCCTATTATGAAGGTTCGTCTGTATTAATTTGTTGACTTTGTGAATTAAGCTTCTGCAATATGTAAAATATGTGAATCAACTTGACTGCCTGCCTAATGTAATTAACTTATAGTCAAACCAATGGTTAATTTTTTATAATATCATTTCAGTTGAACGTTGGATTTTAAAATTTATTCTAGAGACTTTGAAGAGACTAGAATAGTCTAGAGACTCAGAAAAACAAATCTGATGTGGCCAGCACATGGCCTCCCAATTCCATATTTTAAATGGCAGCGAGCTTTAAGTAAAGTATCACTTCCGGTTGATCATTTGAAAATAAAATCTAATTTGTTGTTCCAATAAATAGAAAAGCCTACAATTCGAAATTTTGGATTATATTTTATTAGGCATAATTTATTAGGTATAAAAATTGGTTTTTATAAATTTATATCAACGTAATCAAATGTTTGTTTTATTTCTTTTTATTAAAAATTGTATTTTTAACATAAAATTTAATTAGTTTTGAATTGAAGAAAATTAAGTGTTTATAATACATTTAAAATAAATAATCAGAAACGAATATCGTATTTTAAATTTCTTTTCTGTTATTTCTGTAGTCTCAGCAAATCTAAATTCATTTTGATCTTCGATATTTAAGGTATTTGAAACAGTGCTCGTTAGTTTCTGGACCTGCAGCTGAGTACTAACTATCTGAATTCAGTAAGAAATACAGCAATAGGTTTTCTCCAATTTGCTGTTTGCTCTTGTGTCTCGTTATCATCAACAGTGCAAGAGAATAAAATGTGCATTTTTTGGTAACATACAGACATTAAAACTTTGAAGATATGCAAATGATACACTTTTATAAAAATTATTCTTTTCTGCGATTTGATATAAATAAAAATCATGTATAAATGTAATAGAAATAGCCGTAATATGTGCTGCATTATTTTAGATTGAATTATCCATAGTGATTCTATATTTTTCTAGAAAATTTGTTAAGAGCTCCAAATAAAGTACCTTTTCCGTTTTTCCATCGCTTTAAAAGTCTTAAACACTAAAATTGAAAAAACTTTTATTGCCTTCAAGTAAAGTACCACTTCTGGTTGTCCAATTTTATTCAAAATTTAATCATTTCATAATACGAAAATAGAAATTTTCTGAAGTTAGGCAGAAGAGTAATTGTGGACGAAAAAGGTCCTTATAGACATGCACACAGAGAGACATCATTGTAAAAATAGTAAAATTATGCTGTGGAGACTTTAATTCATGTTTATTCGCTAAAACCTCACTATCGAATTTCTCAACTGAAAACATTATCTCCCTTACGGAAGTATGTTATGTAGTTTGGCAGAAGTTAAAAAGAAAAATATTTATAAATTTATGCAGTTCTGCGGAACTGGCGAATATATTAGATAAATGTAGAACCGTATGTAAGATAAATGTAAATAAATGTAATGTGTTTATTTGAAGCATAACCAATAATTTTTTATGTTCAGAAATGTTTATTTTTCCGTCACGTCATGAAAAATGGCTCTTATTCTTTTCCCTGTTTTAGATCAAACGGTTCATCTGGGAGGTTACATGTCCGAACCTGAGTTTGACAGGAAAGGTAAATCTCATTTTAATTTTCTAAATTACCTCATTTTAATTTTTTGGTTAAGGTTTATTCTTGAAGCAACAAATATCTCATTACTTGCTCTCCAAATCAACCACTCTTTCGCTGTTTCATTTCCTCGCAGTCTGGGTAGTAAATAAATTATTTTGAGAAAGTTTTAGTCCTACTGTAGTATAAGCAGTTTTGAATTAAATATTAATAAAATTGACTTTTAAAATTGAGAATTCACTGTGTAAAGCCTGTGTTATAGAAACTAGTCAAAATTTGCGTACTAAAGTGAAAAGTAGAATTCTTAGTTTAACGAAATAAAAACCCATAAAATGTATTAGTACTTGAAAGACCGTTGGCGAAAATTTTATTATTAAAACTGTGTTTCAACTAATAGCGATAAATATTTTTTATAGTTATTATATGCACAAAGATTATATACACGTTTTTAGAACAATTTTGATAAAAAAAATGTTAAATGTTGCAGAAACTTTATTTGAATATAACATGTCATTTTTAACTATAACTAGTTTTATGTTATAGTTAAAAAATCGTCTGACTGAAATTTGGCGCATGTAAATGAGTTTTGGTTCGAAGAATTTTGTTTTACTCTTTCCAAAGAAAAATATTTTTATTCTGCAATTAAAACCTTTTGGGCAAGAAACCCTGGAATTAACATTTCTAAATACAAAATAAGTAATATTATTGATGATAAAGATAGAAAACATTACTTTTTGCGGAAAAAGACTGTAAGGAATGCTCTATGGAAGTAATTACATAGTTCGATGTTAACCCTAAAGTTTGTGGTTTTAAAATATAATCTGCAGACTGGAAAAAATAATGCTGTTCTGTTTAAAGACCGACAGTAATAAATCTTGAAAATATAGCATTTTTAAATATTAGCAGCAATAATCAATAACTGTAAATAATAAGAGCTCAAATCATAATGGGCAGCACATGATCTTCCGTCAATTCCATATTAAAATGTGGAACTGGTAGAATGTCAGCGAGCTTTAAGTAAACTATCACTTGATCCTTTGTAAATATGATTTGTTTAGAAACTTTATGGCTCAATTTCAATTACAAATACTACTCATTTTCTATTATTCTATTCTCATATACAGTGGACAGTGGTAATTATACTTGCTCACGTACACATCAATTCTCATGCTTTGATTTGAAAATATCGCATCAATCTTAATATATCTAGTCATATAATGTTTCGGATTCACTAATCAATAACTTAACAATTTCAAAAATTTTAAAAGCAGCATATCTCTAGAATTCCCGAGAGTGCCAAATATGAAATATTTCCAAATATTCCTTTTTATATTAGGTATATTATGTAAACTTACTATATTTCTTTAAAAATAATCCATAGCGATTATATTTGGTGCAACATCCATTTATCTGAGAAGTGATTCAACACGTGAGTGAAACAAACGTATTCAGGATTGAGGTTAATACATTTAATTGCTTCATAACGATAACTCGTTTTCATTATGAACTTATTTTCGTTTCATTTAGCATAACTCCAAGAATACATTTCATGCTTATAAGTGTAATATATTGTTCTCAGTCACATATGTGTTTTGAATACCAAATCTGAGAACGTCTAGGTTATCTCATAATATATTTTTTACGAAAATCGTTTCAGAGCTTTCAAGTAAAATATCGCTTGCGGTTTATAAATTTTACCAAAATATGTTGTTTCTGTTGCTATAAAATTCTTAAATACTAAATCTGAATCATTATGGTTTATGTTTTTAATATGGCTTTACATTAAAAGTTGTTATGGGCCTGAGGTAAAAGACCACATCCGATCGTCTATTAAAAGACGGTTAGGGATTTCCTGTAAAATGCTACTTTCGGTTGTCCCTTTTTTACCCAAAAGCTAATTATCTCTTTATACGAATGTAGAAATCTTAAATACTGAAAAGGGAAATTTTCGGTTTCATGTAAGAATTATCGTGGACAAAAAAATCGTCTCTCACAGATACACACAGAAGCACAGGCAAACAGACATCATTGTAAAAATAATAAAAACGTGTTGTGGGGACCCTAATTCGTGCTTATTCACCGAAACCTCACTATCGCATTTTCTACTAAAAACATTATTACCTCCTTTACTTATCTATATAGATTGATGAGAGGTTGAAAAGAGGTTTTGCGTTGTAAAATTCGATAAATGCGGTTTCATTTGTGATTATTTCTTCTAGAATTAAAAATTCAATTTAAAATATTCTAAAAAATCGATTTTTTTCGGTTAATTAAAAAATAAAATTTAACACTTTATGTGTAGAAAAAATTTCATTTTAATGTACAAAAAACTATCAAACGTGCAAGCAAAGCTATTGCTAAATTCTGGAAAAAAAAGCGTAAAGTAATAAATCTATATCTTGACATATTCTTTAAAAGTTTTGTAACTTTTCTTCACTGAATTTGCGTTTGGGGTGACAAAATGTATTTTCGAAGGCAGATCTAAAACCACCGGCATTGAAAAGTATTAGAAGTGGAACAGTAAAGAAAAGAATGTGCCTTGATGAATAAATGACTATGAAATAAAATACTTAAGAAATTTGAATTTGTATTTAAAAATTTGTATTTTTTGTTAATTATAGTTCAACAGAATCATTGTAAAAATATGTAAACAACCTCTGTACGAACTCATCAAGAGCTGAGTATTATTAAAGTTTTCTTTATGGAGAAAATGAGAAACATTGTGTTAGATAATTACCATTTTTGAAACATCGTAATCCAAAATCTTGTTCACTGCTTTAGGAAGAAACTAAGACAATTAACTTTATTTTAATGGTTATGATTATGCTTCTATTGAAATTTGTATATGTATATATATTAAAGATTTTTAATATTTTGTAATTACCTGTCACTGATGTCAATAGGACTTATAAGTAAGTCAGTACCTGAATATCCATACTGTGCCAGAAATGTACAATATAGAAAAGTGATCACACTTCACCAAAATTATTGATTTTTGACACAAGGTGTTTATATGAAGCTAGTATATATGTTTTAAATGATTTTAAAGGTAAGCAGAAATAAATATATTAATAAGCACTTTTATTTTTTGTTTCTAGCTATAAGATGCGAACAGTGTGTTTAGAACAACATAATTCTCATATTATAATTTTAATTCTAAAAGGAGGGCATTCATCCTTTAGAAAAGTAGCCCTGGTATGCTTAGCTGTAATCTAAATAACCCATTCCTTAAAAGAAATATGTTATTTTCTTGTCCAATAAATTATTAAAACAAATAAAAGTCATAAAGAAACCGATAAGTCCATGAATACAAACTGAAATGTGCTTTGCGATTCACATAATCTCATTGTTGATTGATCATTCAAATGATTATGCGAAACACCCGAAAGCAGAGGCCTTCGTTAAAGAAATTAACTCGTATTCACGTTACACTCGAGAAAAACTACTTAAAAACCCCAATAGCTGACCCGTTTTCTGTATGAATATCAGAATTCATGACTGATCTTTTAGTGACCTTCACAATCTTAAAGTATACTCCTATTTGATCTTTATTTTGCTGCATCTATATCTATTAAAGGGTTAGGTTAGCATGAAATACGCATCTCATACCGTTATTCTTGTAGCACCTTTTTACAGTATATGTAAAATCACAACCAGTGTATGCTTTATTTAATATTAAAAGTTAAGTGCATATTTATTTTTCGATCAAATGAATAAACTGTGATAAAAATTATGACAAATTTAAAGCTTAAAATTCTAATTATTATTTTGATTACGGTAAGCACGACCTGTCCTACCCATCCCCAACGCGTAAATCTGACACTAAGAATTTTAGAGAAGTATGATCATTTTTCTATATTGCTAAGTCTTCGATTTTTTTTTAATTCTTTATCTTTCAGTAATCTTTCCGAAGTAAATATACTTAGTGCAAAACTAACCTGAAAATACTCAGAAGCTGAAACACCTAATTGATTACTGTTAGTTCCTTTTTCATATTTTCCACCTGAATATTGTTTTAGGAACTAATGTATCATATTTCGGTTAAAACATTTATTCCTTACTTTACACCCATGAAGTATGTGTATATTCAGTTTTGTTTTATATACTTAAAACTTCTTGAAGCATTCGTGCGTCGGCAATTTTATTGTTTTGCTGCCACCTCCGTCTCTCTCGCGCACTTTCTCTCTTTTTGTTAGGATGGCTGTTGTTAAGTGAATTTTATAAAACCTTCAAAACGTTAACAGCTGATGAATTTTATTAAAGATTCCAAATGTGTGTGTGACTGCTAGGCAATCCATATGCCATTCTAGATCGTGATTTTCAACGCTTTATTTCAGTTTCGAAAGGACTGAACAAAAAATAGACAATTTCTAACTGTACAGTTCAATCTATTAATATTCCAAAGATTAAGATCCGAATTTGAATCGAAAAAAGATACTTTTAAAAAACTATGGTTTTGTAAGATCACTTATCTTAAATTAACTATAACGAGTCGATTAAAGTCAAATAAGTTTGCTGGTAGATTTTTATTCATCGAACTCATGAAAACAAATGCATAAAAACTGGCCAATATTATTTTTAATGAATAAATATTTAATTTCTTTCGTCTGTTACTCTTCATTAACAGTTCTTGTAAATTAAACCTTTGTCTTGAATATCTTTGCGAAATATACCATATTTGTTCGATTATAAGCGATTGTACGACGTTCATCATTTGCACGATGCGTTCCTTTAATTCATCAGCACCAACAAGGAAAGAACAAAGGAAATAGATAAATGAAATAAAAAGCTGAACTATATCTATAAAATACTTATTGTAATTGCATCCGATTTATTATTAACCATAGTACCTGTTAACAAACAGATGTAGCATTCATCACCGCCTTTATTCTAAATTAGGATCAAAATCTTTTTCTTCTGATCCTTTGATGTCAGCGTCTTCTAAAAAAATATCAAAGAACTACTTATCTTTTAAAAGTTCAGTTAATCTTATCTCTGTATCTTCATCACCAATGAGACATTGAGAGCATTAGTAATAGTATATTATATAAAACAAACAAAATCCATAAAACAGATCGTTAAATGCCAGTTCAAAAAGCAGTAATATTCAGAAAACAGAAATACAGTTCTATGACGCCAACGATTTTAAGACAGTTCTTGAATTTGGAGACAGCTCTGGTAGAAAAGAACGTACTTTTTACTATCGAAGAAATATGACATTACTTAAACGATTCTCACCCTGTTCTACCTTTCACTGTGCTTTCAGGTTGTTAACTTTGCTTCGAATAAAAGTATATCAGATCTTTACGTGGAAAATAAGATAAAAAATATACATATATTAAACCACTTCAGTAAGTGTAAATATGATTGTTTTTACTAATTGACTAAATAATATTTAAACATGAAGGTTATTATGATTGGAAATTTAATTTGTCTTTATTTAATCTTTTAAGAGTTTGTTAAACGTATTTTTTGTATATATAATTAACGTTTGAGGTTGGATGTTTAGTAGCAGTTTTTAGACACACCCTACAAATCTACAGTTATAAATTGATTTATTAAGTATTCAATTTCATGACAATTTTGTGCATTTAAATGATCTCGTTTTCTATTTTTTTAGACAAATTAAAGAGTAAATATGCAACAACGGATTATAGAAGGAAACCCGAGAAATCAGTTTCCTACACAACAGAGCCTCCATCTTCTCCAAACATATCAAAAAAGTAAGGAAATATTTTCTGACACTTATCGTCTCCATTTTCATCAGACTTAAACGTTACTAGCGTTTCATAAATGTAATAATCAGTTATGGTTTTTCAGTTAAAAGGTTCTCATTGGTTTTTATTTACACTACAATCTCAAAGGTAATAAAAGTCCGATAATCATACTTGTCCCAGTACTGTAGTGAAACCGGATTATTTAAATGTGCCAGATTATTGAACTAAAACTATATACTGCCGCAAAATGGTTCTTTTTTCATGATACTGAATGCGTAGAGAAATGAAAAATTTGCATGCGTAGTAACTCTGCAAACATAACTAACGAGAAAAATTCATTAATAAATAAATCAATTCATAAATTTAATTCTATTTAACCAGTTTTCTGTTTAGAAATCATCATGATCACTAATGCAAACTTTTCAAATACTCACCTGCTTTATAGTTCTTCTTCTTTTTTATCTTTCCTTTTTTTTTTTTTTTTTAATGATTCCGTAGAATATGAATGCTCATCATTTCTCTAATATTTTTTTTTTAATTTTTTGACGAATTTCATGAATAAAAAAAGTATTTTTAAATGTAAATGTAATAAAAATGTAAAAAAAAATTATGTAATAAAAAGGTAAATACTCTTTAGCACTTATATAAATGAAACTATTATATTATCAGATGTTATCGCAATCGTGCGAGTTATCAAATCATTCACAATATTTTTAATATAGCATCGATCTATAACCAACATTTGTTTTCGTATACAGTACAAAGTCCGAAATCCGGACGTCCAATGATCTGAAATCTGGACTTCCGAATCAGCAGCAACCTCTTAAAATTTTATTTTATTTTTTAATGCTTTATGCTTGCGCATTTGATGTTTTTTCATAATAAAACTTGGAGAGTCCCGAATTACAATTTTACTTCGAAGCTGACGCCAACCTGGTGAATGTATATTTATTATATACTTTGCTTTCATCACCGCATGACTGTCAACACACTGCAGCTTGAGAAACGACTCACGTAGCAATGCCTAACAATTTGTTTTTAATTTTTTAAATTTTTAATATTAGTAATTGAATACCAAAGCGCATGGTAATCTTTTATGCTGACATTACGCTTGGCAATAATTATAGATTTTTTAGTTAACTCCGCTACGAAGTGCTGAGTTTGTTGACGAGGAGAAATTTAACAGAAATTTCTCTTATATGCAAAAAATAGATTTTCTAAATGATAATCATAGTTACTCTCAATTCAAACAGCTACATTTAGTGCTGTTTGAATTGAGAGTAACTGATTTGTTATTCTGATAAACCTATAAGGTATTTCCCCCACTTCCCTAGCGTGCCTTCGTGGTGTAGTGGTTCTGCACACTGAGCCGGTATTTCAGTGGTCCGTGGTTCAATTCCCGCAAAGGCGGTTGCATATTTTTCATCTTTTCTGCTTCCAATTAACCTAATGACTCTACAAACCCAGGACAGGTGCCAGAACTGGTTACGGCTCCACCGGGCGGCAGAATTTAGGGAAGGCAAAATTTTTGGAATTTGGGGAAGGCACTGGGACGCAAAGTTTAGGGGCCCAAAGTTTTTACAATTTAAGGAGGCACTCAGAATTTCGGGCCTGCACGAATTTTTGCACGGGGCTGCAAAATGTTTAGCGCCGGGCTGGATAAGCTTTAAGGTATAGGTTGGAATTCAGTCATTGAAAAACAAAGACTTAAATAAGCCTTAAGTACGTAGGGAAATAGTCATAAGTATAATAAATAACTATAGTACTAATATAATTCAGGCTTAACTTCGTCAGCATGTGATAGAAGCAAGACGAAATTATCAGAACAGCAAGTCTTTATTTATTCGCCAGTCTCATGATGCAATAGTATATAGCGGACACTAGCGAAACTTTATAATGATAGCCGAGAATTTTCAGATACCATTGCCTTCCGTACCATCATTCTAATAAGGCGGATGACAATAATAAGGGAAGCAAAGCTTCAATAGACTAACTTTAAAAATCCTCGTTTGTATCAGTTAAATCACTGCTTATACTGTTTCTTTTTCTGCGTGCTTCGGTGTGTTTGCCTATCCCATTACTGTCCTCTGCTTCATAACTGATCAGAAAGGCATGAAATTTTACAACGGTACGTGTAATTATTTAAAAATGCTGAAGTTTTTTTATATGGCAGTTTTGTAGGTTGTTAAAAATCCTGCAAGGCTACTGTAAGCCTATATGCTATTTTTTTTTCAATAATTTTCTTACAGTTATTGTGTGAAAGAATCTCTGGCAGATATTTTCGCTTGCCTCCTCTCTCCTCCGCTGCCAAAGCGTAAAGTCTGTTCGGATTTCACAAAACTATTCATAAACTAAAATTCTAGTAACCCTTTCACAAAAGTGAAGTCGTGTATTTTTTTTTAAAAAATGGAAACTTCCTAGACTTACTTGTTACAAAATAAAAACTTTTAAGTAGGCAAGACTAAAATCTGAAGTTTGATCTGCGATGGCCACATGAACTCTTTCTGATATTGTTTAAGATATCACTCTTGTAGATATAATGTAAAAAACTGTATTTGCATTTAAAACACCTGCAGGTTTTTTTTTCTTGTGGGGAGGCCTCTGTAACTGAAAACCTGTTGCATTGATACTGTTTGAAATACTGGTAGTTTTGCCAAAATTTATTTATAATAACATTATTTTTACTCATGTTATTCACAGGACAGGAACAGAATCATCTGTAGTTAAACACGAGCGGCAGAATGTTTACAAAGTGGAGCCGCGCAGCATCGCCGAATACGAACCAGGACATTCTTCCCTTGCGGAAAAAGAGTTTGAAAAGGTAGGTTGAAATCATATTGGAAATATTTTATGAAATGGTCTTTTGAAATTTACTATTAAATGTGTTTTTTAATTGTAATCCACTCATGCTCATTTTCATAGCTATAACATAGAAAAGCAGACAGAATGCCTTTATCACTTTATTTATTTCATGCGGTAACTTGTTTTATGTCAAACAAAATATTGTATAAAACTATTTATACTTCTTAAACTTAAATGATGCCTGTCAAAATGTAGAATAGAATAGCTACAGTTAAATTGGTTGACAAGTTAAAATCCTGTAGTGGAATCCGAATAGTTGCAGCTAAATAAGTTGCCAAGTTATAAAAACTGAGGTGGAATCTTAAGTAATATGATCCAAATAAAGCTGTTATTCGAAATAATAATTTGCTGTACTTAATTTTCTAAACTGAATTTTATTAATTATTTGACATATATATATTTATGATTTAATAGCAACAAAAACATGTTTAGTTAAGAATATGCTGATTATTTAGTTTGCTTAACTGCAGTGATGTCTTAGATTATACCATTAGGAAGAACGCAATAATTTCGTAGATTAATATTATTAGAAAGCATAGGCCTACTGATCAATATATTTATCAGTTTATGCATTTATTCGTAGATGCTGACTAGAATATGCTAATTGCTAATGCACATAACCTCGTATACAATATACATTTCTTGCTTAGTATAAAAATATAGAATGTGCTTCTAGCACACAAGTGTGGAATATGTGTTGTTAGTTCATAAACTGATTCGCATTGTCTCTGCTCAGGATTACGATCGCCATTTGTATTTAATTACAAAATGAATTAATGTTCTTAAATGAAATTAGTTTATTGATTAGTATGTTAAAAGAGAGGTGTGCGATTAACAGCTTTGTCATGGTAACTTTTAGCCTTTTATGGAGTATGTGGATGCATCTCCAGTTAAATTCTTTGTATATTTTATTTGTCACATCTCAAACGGAGGAAGCATCTTAAACTTTCAATTCATATTTTGTTGTCCAGTGAATACAAATACATAGATGCTTTCAATCTGTAAAATATCTTGTACCGTTCGAAAGGTCAGCGCTACGCGTTTTGGTGCAATCTCTATGGATCCTAAAGTCTGATTGTTCTGCCCCTAAATTATGCTGCCCATAGCATCCCCTTAAATTCTAAAAATTTTGCCGTTTTTAAGTATTGTTGCTTTGTGTTGCTCTAAATTCTAAACATCTGGCTACCGGCTCTTGCGTCAGCCCTGATCGTGTGTACATTGCTATACGTTGAAACTGCTTTAGCATTTTTTTGTTTGCGTGCAAAATAGGTGAATTGCGGCAATGATCATGCATAAAGTTAAGACTGCTGAAATAAGTTTGTGTAGTATTTCTTAAATTGCAAAATACGACGTATATTTACAATTATTATTAACATGCGACTTTATGCGTGTCTGAAGAGAATGTTATACAGGTGAGAAATTTTGCGAAATACTCAATTTTGACAGTAAATTTGCAAAAGTTAGCTGTAGCTAAATGAAACATGCTAACTTTTTAATTACCCATCAAATGCAACTATTTAAACTGAATCCTAGGAAGAACGATATTTTATATGTGTATTTCAGGGTAAATGTGAATGAAATACTTGAAGATATTGAAGTTTATTTGTATATAGAAATTTAAATATGTTTGTGAATATCATAAATTAATGTTCAAATAATTACTCAAGAGTGTCAGTTTTTGCCATTAGCAAAAATAGAATAATGACTGGAAAATTATTTTTAAATTGCAGGAAAGCGCTACTATAAAGTTCCTTAAATGTTAAAGGGATGTAACATCATCTACATTTTTTTAAAATTTCTTCTTGAGATGATTCTTAATATAATGCCAGTTTCAAAAAAATTACTTCGAAATATAACAGAATTGTATTATTTAATAATTTCTGTAAAGGTTTTGATTATTTACTATAAATATTGATGACCATTGGTTAAATATTCTTTTGTAATTTATTCTTCGAGGTTCCTAATATTTTTTGGCAAAATAGTTTTATTCCGAATTAAATAATGTGAAAAAGCGAAAGTTGATCTAATGTGGTTAAAAGGTCCATACTTGAATCAGTCCCACTTCTCTTGTGATTTACTGAGTCATTAAATAAGTCATAATTTTTTGCCAAAAATTTAAGTCGTGTCTTAAATTTTATTCAAATGTTGTGAAGTAATTCAGAAAATATTCGTTTCAGTTCTGGAGCGATTTCTGGGACTCTATGGATGATTTGGTATGAATCTGTTGAATTACATCTATGCAGCATGACTCATATAACCCACTGACTCATATAACCCACCTTGCTTGATTAATTAACTGGATTAACCTTCTGTAGATATGGCGATATTCTAATCATTGATTTATATACAGCATGAATCATAAACTTCTGCAAAGTTCTTATTTTTAGATGTGCTTAACTGGATCAAACAGTTTTTATGAAACATATTAATATGAACTTATTCAAATTTAAAGAAGATTTAGCCTTTTAAAAAATTCCAAGATAATTTTATGGATAATTTTATAATGATTATTCTTTACTTTGGGCACAATACTTCACTGAAATTAAAGTACCAGCATTTAAAGATTGAGATAAAATTTTGTTTATAATGTACTGGATACAAGGACTTTTAACAGTTTTAAAATAGAAGTAAAAACTTAATTTACAGAAATTTAGAAATTAATTTCTAAGTGTAAATTTTTCTAGGTGTCGCTTTTACAAAATTTTTGGTTCATAAGTTTTTAATGTCATTTTTCGTGTATATATACTCGCACATATCTACACTGCTGGCCATTAAAATTGTGACACCATGAAGGAAAGCAAATACAAAAAAGGTATTTATTGTACGTAAACAGTATAGCATGAAGACAAAATGATTGAATTTGTAAGCAGATTGAGGGTGTAGAGGGATGCGAAATTAGTAGAAACAGCTGTTATTCCTGGCAGCTAAGACGGCCCTTGCCTGGTTAGGCATGGAGGTCGAACTGGGCTTGGATGACAGAAAAAGGTAACTCATTCCATGCTGCTTCAAATCTATGCCACACTTCATCCACTGCATTAGCTGGAGAGGGGTGGCGGGCCAGTCTCTCGGCAACCCATAACCAGATGTTTCCAATGAGGGACAGATCTGGATTCAGGCCAGGGCAGCAATCGGGGTATTCAGCTGCTGCCCTGGTGCACGGCTAATAAGCTGAGAACACGCATTTTCTTCTTGGAAGATGGTGTTTGACAAGCCCCCCGAAGATAGGAGCACTACCAGTGGGCGTAAGATGTCAGAAATGTACCGAACTGCGTTTTAACTACTGTCGATCCGAACTAGAGATGTGCGTGTCATGTACCGAATGGCTGCCTAAACCATCACACCTGTTGCAGGGCTCCTATGCCGGTATCGAATGCAAGCAGGCGACATGCGGTCTCCTCGGAGTCTTGACGCGTATACGGCCATCAGAATACTGCCCACAGAACCGGGATTCGTCTGAAAAGACGACATTATGCTCCTCCTGTATACAGCTTTGTCGTTTGGCGCACCAGAATCGCCGTCTGTCTCTAATGCTGCATTGTCAAGGGAAGCCGAAGTAATGGTCGCCATGCTGATAGTCCGTGCATATAAGTGTATATTGGGTGTGCTACAAGCATGCCCACTGCCCTTCTCAGGCGTTATTAATGGGAGGGCGTTGAGTTCGTGCATGCCGTTCAGTATGACCCTCAACAACCTATTCATTCCATATTCGCATGACAGTGGATGGATGTCGACTAGTGCGATTGGCGATATCACGGAACGATAATGCACACTCTGGATAAGCAACGATCCTGTTTTTATCGAATTTCGACACTTGCTGGTAAGCATTTCTTATTATTATTCGAGTCATGACACGATATTATGAGAAACTCCGACCTTAAAAAGCTCTTTATGAATGAGATATCCACTACACAGCTTTCTTTTATGCAATGCTTCAGATGTCGTTGCTCCTTCCTGCATCGTCTAAATGTGCTGAAATACTAATCATTTGCATATCCCAGTCTCTTCTTCCTTTCATGTGATTTTTGACTTGTGTCAGATCATTCCATCCTGGTGCTGCAATTTTAATGGCCAGCAGTGTATATATGCATAGAAAATGCATACAGATGACCAAAACAATTAGAAACAGCATTGATATAAAATACACGTAGACATATGCCAAGCAGAATGAAGATATATGCGCCGACACTGGCGACTTATGTCTTGGAACCAGTGTTATTACAAAGTAAGTGTTCAGTCTGTCTCCAAAATAACAGCATTTGCAGGTAGCATTTTCAAGAGTTTTGCAGTGAGTGTACCTGTGAATATATCAGCATCTAGCGAACAAATTGTTTCCGCTTACATATTATTTTTATGAGCATGGTAGGCGTGGATTGTCCAAATTAACTGAAGGGCACTGTTTTTCCAAATCATATTTAAATCCAATACCAGAATCTTAAAAAATATTAGACAGCAGACAGTACTATAAATGCTGTAAAGCGGTGCTAGGAATATCGAAATAAGATACCTGTAGATCAGCGTCGCTTTGTTTAGTAGATGGGTATGTTACTTTCTGTGCCGAGCCATCTTGATAAATGCATTACGAATATGGCATTATGTGTTATGATATAGGAAGCAATCTCAGGGGATGCGTGTACCCCTTAATATGTTTTAAGGGATCCAAAAACATTGCTTACTACCGGAATGTTTTAGCCGATTGCGAGCAAGTTTTCATGACTTTCGTCCATACTGAAGGAAAACTTGATATTAGCATTAGCAACACAAATTACCTTTCAGCTGGGCCACTACCATCCATACGGTTGGATGAACACTCATTTGAATTACAAACCATCCTATGACTTCCGTAAATTTTCTTTGAATTTCAAATGGATATTGTTGGAACCACCTGGTTCCTAAAGCCACTGTAGGCGTTTAGAATGAGTTGCGGATAGTATTACAGCAGGCATGACTGCAATTCCTGTATTAGTCGTCTAACATCTTGTGAAGCCGATGTTTCAAAGTGTGAAGGCATGTTAATGTGGAAATGTCTGTAACGTTTTGGTAATGCGGTATGCATATGCAGAAGTTTCAAGTTAAACCTCGACATTTGTGTCTCATCATACATCGAGATACACTGGTGTGCAAAAATTAAGGACGAGACGGTTTTTTCAATATAACTTTGTACAAAAGCTTTCCAAATCAACACATTTAATACCGTAAGATCCCCAATACGTAAGGACATGAGTAATGTAAGCAACACTTACTAAAAGAGAAATCAGAGGGATAAAAAGAAGCTTTATTGAAAAAGTAGCATGGAGCGCAATGCGACTGAAGGCCGAAACATCCCTGTGATGGGTGTCCAGCAAGAAACATCCGGTCTTTAATAGGGGATATGATCTCCCCTGACTGCTAGGCAGGTTTCACAGCGTCTGCTCATGCTGAGAATGAGGGTGTCAATGAGTTGTTGAGGCATTGCTGCCCATTGGTCTTGCAGCGCCAATCGAAGCTCCGGAATCGTTACTGGTGGTAAGGTACGAGCTGCCAAGCGTCTGCCTAGAAAATCCCATACATGCTCGATGGGATTGAGATCCGGAGATCGTGCCGGCCAATCCATACGTTCAATATCCTCACTCTCTAAGAGCTGTTCGGCAGCTACTGTGCGATGACATGGTGCATTGTCGTCCATGAAAAGGAACTGCGGACCCATAGCGCCACTACGCACATATGGAAGACGCACATATGGAAGAAGAATCTCGTTACAATAACGGGTCCCGTTGACTGAACCTGCGTCGAAGATGTGAAGGTCTGTACGACTACCAAGCATGATGCTTCCCCAAACGAGAACACCGCCACCTCCATACCTGTCACTTTCAATGATGTTCGAGGGATGATTGCGGCTTTCCCGCTCTCTCCAGATGAGTATGCGATGAGAATCGCTACTCAGAATGAATCTGCTCTCATCTGTAAAGAGTACTCGTTCCCATTCATTGTCTCTCCAATTCCGGTGTTCCCGGCACCACAGAGAACGCCTTCTCCGATGGGCAGGCGTTAGAGGTACACACCGTACAGGGCGTCGTGCAAACAGACCACCACTGTGCAGTCTTCTGGCCACGGTAAAACGCGATATCGGTCGTCCAGTCGCCTGTGTCGTGTGTCTAGCGATTTCTCCCGCTGTCTGCCGCTGTTTCTTCTGGCCTGTAAGGCAATATACCGGTCATCTGCGGGTGTGGTTCCTCGTGGACTACCACTACTAAATCCCCGGATAGCTGTTCCTGTAGTTTGAAATTGTCTCCAAAGTCGTGAAACGATGATGTGAGCAATTCCGAACTCTGCAGCCAGACTTGTCACACTGCGGCCTTCCTCCAACTTCCCAATGATTCGACCTCGGGTAAAAGCATCCAGATGTCGTCTAACAGATTGATTATTCGCCATTTCTCGGTGAGGCAGCAACTCGGTGTGATTTTCTGCTATACGGCGTGCAATCTCTTTGCCAGAAATACTGATCTTACACCGACAACATGCTTTATACTACTCAGACACTCCCCCATTACGTCTACCTGCATATCTGCGCATGTGCTACCGTACATCACCTTACTTAATCTCCTGATTGGTCTTTCTGTCCGCTCTGCCTCTTCGTTCAGCTGATATGCTAATTTTTCGACTTCGTCCTTAATTTATGCACACCAGTGTACTTAAAGCACTCTGTCTGTTAGTTGTGCGTAAGAGAAGATATTCATTGTAACCGAACGGTGCTCTAACATCGTGGCCGATATCACTATTTGTTAAAAGGGTTTATGAAGAATGTTCTCTTCTCCCTCAATGTGTGTCTTTGTCGTGTGATTGATAGCACGTACAAGTAGCATCGAGAGGTCCGAAGCTTAAATCTCGGTAAGAGGATCGCTGATTTTTCACTTTTTTCTGGCTTGAAGCCGAACAGACTGTAAAGTTGACTTTCCGCCAGTAAAAATAAGGTATAGCAGTATGTTCTGATGAAATTCTTCTGTATGGCGACGCAAGACTACCGTAGTTTATAGAAAACTTCAGTACAGTGCGGTGAAGAGAAATCTTAAGTCTTAGTAATACACATCGATCGTGCATTCTATTTTAAGATGAGCATAAATCTATGCTCATCTTAAATTGCTAATCCGACCAAGGTGGCTTGGAACGTGTCTTTACCGAAGGGCGATAGTAATCTCACCTTAGTACCAGAGTAAATGTATTCGAGTGTTACTGCTGATTGGGCATTGAATTTATCTGGTGTTAGGAACATCAAACTTGAATTTCAGCAAACAACGCCGAATTATTCGGTCAGGTGAATCCAAACGAGAACACCGTTATGCGTTTATCAACTATTTCCGTTATGCGTTTATCAGACCCGGGCGTAGTCTTTCATTGAAATTTAAAGGTTTAATCAGTTTCTTTCAATAGATATACTATGGGGGGGACTTAGAATTATCCAGAAAGTAATCATTATATCTTTAAATGTTTGATAAATGAAAGTGTTTGGTAATACTAAAATTAATCTATCTAACAGGATTTTATGGAAGAATTTCCTTCTGATGTGTGTATACGTAAACTCACGAAATAGTCTATACGTGAAGCCACGAGTCATTAAAGTGTCTTAAAATGTATTAGGATTTTTGTTATATATTTTTTGTTTTAGGCCACAAGAGGGCAGTTTAAGAGATGTAGGATTCTCCACTGTGCAATTCTAAGTTACAGTTAAAAATGAAGAATCGTAAGAACTAGTAAGCGAATAATCGCTTGAGTTCGTGAGACAATAAGTAAACTTGGGAAGGGTTAAAAGACCCTTTATTATTCAAACTAAAGTTTAACAAAACTCCGTCTTGGAGTTGTACAATAAAGCCGACACTTGGGCTCGAACTTAAGAAACTAAGAATTAAACTAAACTAATCTTAACTAAAGGTGATATAGCCGAAGCTATCAAAATTCTGTGTTGGCTCCTTAACGCTAATTGACTGCGAAGCTATCAAGGGCCTAATGTACGGCCGAGTGTAATAATAGCTTACGAAAGAGTAACCTAAGAAGGCGGACACGTGCAGCCAGAATATCTGGTATCTCTCTCTAAGACTGTAGAATTTCACGGTTAAATACCGCTCTTCCTCATTAGCATTCAGAAGTGATTCTAAAACTGCGTTCTGGCCGAAGTTGGTAAGTTGAAATTAAGAATCGATAGGAAAAGAAGTTTAACTCAAAATTTACTGTTAATAAAATTAACATAATCCTTAGAAATTTGGCCTTGTTTTTTTAAAGAGATTTCACTTCTTATTAAAGTCCTCCGGAAAGAAGCTTTTACAGAATTTTACAGCACTAAAAATTTGTAACAAGAATTAATTAATTAGGCCTAATTTTAAAAAAGAGTGAACTGCTTCTAAAATAACATAGCTCTATAGTGGTTTCTTAATAATAAAATAATGAAAATGATAGTGCTAAAACATTTAAATCCAAATAGTTTCAAGATGCCTGATGCATGACTTTCTATGATACGTTATGGATATGCTGAAATACAGGCTTAAAAAGGGCCTTTTAAAAGTCTTAAATCGGGGTTCTGTCATCATCTGAAGTGCCATTTTTAGTTATAGATGTATTCAGAAATATATCTCAAATTTCAATCAATTTTACTTATTTTAATATTGCATGATTTTTATATATTTTATATTAATTGCGTAAAAGGTGTCGCGGACCAGACATTTTTTACTTATGACATTTCGTATCTAACTAAGAAATATCAAATCGCTCTCGCTATGTTTATTACCTTTTTTGAAACAGATCGCATTTCATCTCAAAATAAAACTGTTAATATTTTGTGTATTTAGTAAAAATAGTTCATAAAATAATTTTATGTTACGGATCCGAGAATCAGACGAAAACTGTTATGAACAGATTTTTCGCTGTGCTAGTTTTAATGCACTGACCCATTATATATTTAAATTAGCATTGTCTGTGCTTAAAGGCCATTCACTTTCTTAGTCGTGAGAAATGTAGCTTAAATTTATTTTATAGTTTTTAAATTTCAGAATTACTTTGCATATCTGTTTTTGTCTGCTTTTGATGACATCATTTATCATGTTTAGAATAGCTGAAGATAATTTGCTAGCTACAGAAATAGTTCATCAACTATTTACTGGATTTCTTGATTTGGAATCATTGAGCGCTGCCTGAGATAACCACTGACCTGACTTTGTTGTAAAAGTCTTACAGTGTTAATAGTCATCCTGGCAGAAGGGATTATTTCTTCCGTATAAAAATATAAATATAAATATTACATGGGCATACAAGGCCTGTGTATGAGCATGCATATGTTAATTACAAACATTGTCTTGTACAAGTTACATGTGATAGTTACATAAAATCATGACAGTTATATGCACATTTAAACATCATCTGAATTCATATTAACCATACTTTTACTGAGATAAAGTAAACTTGTAATTCATTTACACATTGACTGGATTTTCAGTGTCATTTTTAACTGCTTTATAATATTATTTTTAGCAAGTAATATTGTAAAGAAGTTAAAAATGACATTGAAAATCCAGTCAGAGTATTTTATGACTTATTATATGAATTTATTACTAACAAAAAATGTTAATTTAGATATAGAAAAAAATATTTTTTACTTCTTTTTCATAGCACGAACATCTTGGAAGTAGTCCAAGACCTCAACAAGGATTAGCACGTCGATGGCCGAATGTGTAAGTTATTTCCCCTTTTTCTGCGTATCCATGGAATTTATATGCTGAAAAATTTCTTTGCTTGAAGATTAATTGAAGGTCCTAAACATTAAAATTAGCTTATTAACCTCAAGAAGTGTTTTTGTTAATGTTAAATTATGGAATCATTTTGGTAAATGCAATTATTTAATTAATAATTTTGGCTGAGATACAGTTTCTGAGGAAAATTGTAGACTGACTGACTGTAAAAATAATAAGTGAATTATTTTATTATAGTTTTTTTTATTTGTGAGGGAAAATACTATATTAATTTAATAGTTATAAAAGTATTATTAAATATTTATAACTTTGGCAGTTTTATTTTTTATGATGATGCTAATACATTTATTGTTAAATTTTCTTACCGCTTGAATTATTATTTGAATTTTATTCTACTTCGTTATTTGTTTATCTGAATGCTGGTACAAATGACTTTTCACATCCTGGCTTTTTATTTTGGTTATGTCGCGATTTCTTATTTTTCTTGTATTTTCCAGGTTGTTTTTATTTTGCTTTTTCCATGCGAGTTTCTGCATTTATTGTTATGTTTTCTTTTTTTTAACATATAGGCACATAAGTTTTAAAAAAAGTATGTTCTAAAAAGATGTAAAAGAAACAAATCTACCTTAAGTGCATCCGAAAGAAATGTTACCTTATTTTAACCAAGTTATATATTAACTCTGTCGTCATGGTTACTGATAAGAAATATTTGACGAAAGATTTCGTACTAAATTAATGCTTTAAGTGCTTTTCCGGAAACTTCTTCCATTAATAAAAGATGGATAAGAAGTATGCGAATTTCACCAGATGCACTTATTTTGGGATTCTTCCGGAAAGTGAAAAAAAAATTGATGGAATTTATTGATCTTTACCTCCGTTACCTACTTTTCCGTTATTTGTTTCGGACGTTGAAGACCTGAAAATTTCTGGCGGAAGGTATAGAATTCAAAACGTAGAGAACATTGGAAGTGACTGGTGTTACTCCTCCGTGCGTGGCATGCATTAATTTTATGGTAACTAACGTAAGTTTTAGGGGCAGTATAGCTTATTGTAACTTTATTGCAACTGTGTTTATATTGATAAGAAAAGAGTTTGTAATGATTTGAAGTTGAAATGAATTAAATCTTTTATTTCTTTAAAACTGTTACAGTTAAAATTTATAGCATTTGATTTAATATTGAAATCATATTCTTTGTTTAACTGGTATTCAAGTAAATGTTGTCCAACACATCGGACTTTGCGAATATATTTTATGTATAGTCGCTAGAAATATTATTGATCTTTGAATAAAATTATCTCAGAATAATATTTAGGAATTAACTTTGGGATAATTATTGTATTATGCACTTTTTCATACCGCATATCATCTAGCTTTGTTTGTGGAAATAATGAAAACACTATAGTGTTTGAATTTTTCTGTCATAATTTTTGACATAACTAATAAAATCGCATAAAATATGGTGAAATTATAAATGAAAGTAAAGTGTATTTTTTATTTCGTGTTCTTCTACTACCATACTTGGTCAGAAGGTAAGATGATGCTTTTTTCCTTAAAAAAATCCCATATAAAATTTATACCTTCTTATGTGAATCAGCCTAATCTTCGAAATTGTATTATAATTTGTTCTTTGTGTTTTAGCTTTTACGCTAACAGAAAATACACTTATTTGGTGCGACCTCAAAACACTGTATTTAAACCATTTTCATTGTCAAATACATAGGAAGAGAAACGCGCGACCATAAAACTTAAAATTAGATTATAAACAATCTTAGAAGTTTGGCGTAGATTTTGAAAAATTCTTTTTCAGGGGTGATCAAACACATGTCCCTCTTCTTCAGGGGCCAAAAAGTTAAACTAAAAACGTTTTTATACTTGGATATCTGCTTTTGTAACAGAGAAACCTGTGTCTGATGGATGGCTCTCTAAATCAATAGAGGTTTATTAAAAATCTATGCCAAACTAAGGATCCTTTTTGCCTAATTTTACATTTTAATTGTCTTTGATATGGAATATCCTTATTGTGTTAATCTTTATGTGGGAAGATTTCTTATATACTAAGAGGAATATTTTGTATATTCTTAATAAGATATAAGCTCATCTAAGTTAAGCTCATCTAAGTGAAGCCTTGTTATATGATAATAAGTGAAGCCTTCTTATATAATAAATAACTTAAAAACTGCAGATTCAGTTTATACGCGAGGTCAGCATATATTTGGGTTAATACGATAATCCAAATAACCAATAATATTTTTAAGCGCCGATATAATGCTTTAAATTAATTAATAAAAATCTTACTTTTGCGTTTTTAAATTAATAGTGGTAAAAATTCTGTTTCCGTAGTCGCGTACAGTATTTACATAATACTTTGTATAATATATATATTATGTATGTTTCTTACATTCTTTGATATGTATGAATGCTTTGAAATCCTATCACAACTAATTTTGACGTATTTTCATATATAGTCACTCCCAGCATGAATATTTCTTCCATTATAAAAATTATGTGAGAAAAATTTTAATTTAATTATTGTAATGTATAATATTGTTTTATTATATTTTAAAAGACTCCTTAGTGATGGTTACGAATCAGATTCTACTCTAATCAGAAAAACGGGTCGCGTGCCACATGTAGACCCTGAGCAGCAGAAAGCATGGTACAAAGAAATCCAAAAAGGAGGTGAAATCCCTTTCATTGGACTTCGTAAATCAGCTCCGGAAAAGCCGGCAGGTATGTTAAACTTTTTTGTTTAATAAAGGAATTAAAGTTTCAAAGGATTAAATAAGTTGCTAACACTTCAGAAGGAATTTTGGAGCTTAAGATTGTTAAGTGGTGTTTAATTCCATGTTAAATGTGGAATGCTATAATTTTGTTCCTTTATATTGATAAACTACTGTGTTTACTTTGGATTAAAGGAAAGCTTGGCTAGAAATTAATCAGATCTAACGTGTAAGATCAAACATTGTCATAGCATTTCTGGTGTTTTTCTATAAAATTTAGTCTTGCGCAGTTTCCACTGCCATAGAGATAGTTGAGTAGCTCTTAAGAAATATAAACCTGACATTACTTGATTAGCTTAATTAGTGAAATATAAATCTGACACTACTCAGCCTCATCAGTAGCTGAGTGCTTAAGACCGTTGAATACTGGTGGTTCGACCCGGGTTAGAATCCAGGCGATTGAATTAGCTGCATGGTTGGTTTTTGTGATTCTTCCAATGTGCATTGTGAATATGAGCCAATTTCCCTGATAAAATCCTCCATGAAGGCATCCCTTCCATCAGGCTGATAGTTCGTACTTGTTTTGCCATATTCAAATAATCTAATATAACCATCTGACTTTTACCTGTTCAGTCACTAAAAGTCAATAAGTTTACTCCAAGATTATTATTGATCTTCAGCAGGAAGATACGATCTGTAATGTATACCACTAGTATGATCTTACTGTCATATAGTGTGTGCTATTGGAGTACCAAATAAATCTATGTAATTCTGTGAATGAGAGTTACCATTCTGAATAGATTATATGAAATTTCCTATACTGAATTTGTATGGCTCATTATAATATGTAAAGTAAAATTTAATTGTTCAAGATGGAATAAATAAATTGTGAAAAATAAGTGAATTTTTTCCTTTCAGTAATGTTCATTACAAATGTGACATTTCATGTTAAAAACGCTTAAAAAAATGTTTTGCTGGCTTCGTTTAAGAGTTAATTTTTTTTAATTGTATTTTTGTAAAAATTGTAATTACATTTTATTTTTATTTTACCAAGTATCGTATATAAAGAATCTGTTCTGAGAGCTGTTCGTGATTTAATTAAGAAATTTAAAATTATTTATATATCCGTTACTTAAAACGGATCATAAAGTATTGAACAAAAAATACGATTATTCAATAAATTCTAATGTCAAGTGTATTATCATTCTAATGTCAAATGTCAAGTGTCAAGGCATGTTGAATATGGAATTGGTGTGAATTAATGCAGTCTCTCATTGATGATATGAAACACAATAGGAAATAATTCAAATTTATTTTCTAAATATCATTTTAACGTTAATCTATGCTTATTTACTTTTCGCTATTTTCACATTTTGTTACATAAGGGCTTATGACTTCCGTAAAAGACTGTTCTGTAGAGGAACTTCCGTAACGCATAGAAAGTTTCTGACTTCTGTAACGCATAGAAAGTTTCGTACTGCTCTTTTCTGTAAAACATAACAAATTAATATTCTTATAAACTTGGTTTAGGATTATGCTAGAAGTGCAAAGGCATTCGATTATTGCATAAACAATAGTTCAAAGCTGTAATTTTAGTTCATAAGAATACATTTAGTCATTAAAGTATTATTCGTTAACCTATTAAATTATTTTACCTATATTTCAGACACCTTGATCTGCAAGAATCAACCAGGATCTCATGTATATGGTGTTTGGCCGCCTTGCCACTATCACAAACATATCCCCAACACTTTGCGTTCAACTACTGAAACTTACACTTTTAGGGCCAGACCTGTAAACAAAAGTTCACCATCACATCTAAAAGGCTTAAAGATGTCTGGTGCATATTCTGCACCAGAACCTCCAAAACGATGTTCATCTAAATTTCGGTCCACTCTTAAATTGCGTAAATCGTCTTCATGGGATAATAATATAAGCAAGGAATACAAAAGTCCAGTGAGCAGTGTAGACTGTATTTCGTTTACTAATCCTTCAAATGGATGTCTGTTGGGAAGAGATTTTGTGTCCAGTTTGCCTGCTGAGCATCGTAAAAATGCTACTGCTACTTTTCAGATCTCTTCTGAGCATCTTAAAGGCACTAACACAAATGATTACCATCATTATTCGACATACTTCACAAATTTTGATGCAACCCAAAATCTCAGTCAAGAACTATGTTGTCAACTGAATAATTTGAGGCATTATCATTCTCATATTCTTAACCATCACTGTAGTTTAAGTAGACATCAAATATTTAATGGGCAAAATGTAAATGAGTTCAATTTAGATTCAGAAATTCATCCTTTTTCATCCTCTTACAGCTCATCTGCCCAAAATATTCCAATAGAAGTGGAAAAAAATTATGTTGAGCGCTATCAAAGTATCTACCACTCTCCCAACTGTTCTAAGAGTGGTCAGCGTTCTCAAACTTCTAACAGTTCTCAATCTGAGAATACAATTTCTGTATTAGATAAAGAACGAGAAATGTCATCTCAGAAACTAATTTATGTGAAACAGCCTGCGTTAAATATTAGAAATATTAAAACAAAGCCTGTCAATGGAAATATTGCCAGTGGGAATTCCCTGGGAAAGGAAAACTTTTCTCATAGCGTTGAAATAAGCGAACACCCGAATTCTTTGAATTCATTCGCAGATCCGGATTATAAATTTATAAGAAATGCTCAATGCGGGATGAGATGCTGCAGAAGGCACCCAACTGCAACAGAATTTTGCAGTTATACGGATTTGGAACTAAATAGTTTAAAAGAATTAAATTATGCTAATTGTTTACCATCAGAACTAATTGCTCAGAATTCTTCTGTTGATACAGATATCAGTTTTCGTAAATCTTTGAATAACTGTGTACGAAAAGAAAAGAATATTTTATCTGAAATTTCTCCTTACGAAATTCAGGGTCAGCCTAAATCCATGACTGCCTCAAATTCTGATATCCAAACAGCAATTGCACAGGAAGAGCTTATGAAGGATGATTTAGCGATTTCTGATTCAAAATATGTGTCAACAAGTAAAACAAGTTCTTCTCTAGCTGAGAAGTCTCGAAACATCGCTTGTAGTAACATTTGTGTATCAAAACCGTCTGAATGTATTCCAAAAGAAGTTAGTTTGTGTCGTATGATAACAGTATTACCACCTGTAATTCATGTATCGAAAGATTTGTCTCCGAATCTTGAAATGCAGCTTGCTCATTCTGTCTCTCAGGGAGTTCAAAAACAATACTGTAAAATGGATTTAAATCCACTCAAAATTTACTTGAAAAAATATGGGAATTATGTTACTCAGACTAAAAATAACTGCGTTTCAAACCCCACTGGATTCTCAAAAATCGCCATTTGCGAAAACAAGAAGCATAAGTCAGCACTGATTGCTCAAAACCCCGATATTGAAGCATTTTTTGATGTGTTTAAGTCTTCTAAAGCTGGTGAAAATTTAAATGCTCTTGTCACTAGCATTCAGAAAAAAACAAGCACCAATGACATTAATCAAAACTTTTTTAATTCTAGCAGGATTATGAGAAATATTAGAAATGTTAAGTCAGATGGAATTTCACATTCTGTTGAGTTTTGTGGAGGCTTTAAAAATGGCGATGAAAGTAAGTGCAATTGTTCCGCTGTTTTGCCAAAACCTTATAAAAATCATCAAACTTTGAAACATTCTTTAAAAAATAGGCAAAATTTCTTTACGAATGGACTTAATGTTTCCTTATATCATCGTTACATCAGTTCCATGCTCCAATCTGCTACCAAATCTCCGAAATTTATCCGCTTAAAAAATTTTTATTCGAGCTTGCAAAGTACTTCAGATTCCAGTCAAAATAAATTACAGAAATTTGATATTAATAGCGTGAGTATTTCATGGAAAAGTAGTAGTGGCTGTTGGGAAAAAAATTGTGACAGAAGTTTGAGAATTCGGCATTCCTCTGTCGAAGATCTTAGACAAATATTTCAAAATTCTGACAGTAGAAAGGAACGCAGTGGTTGTATTAAAGCCTTCCATGCCTCTTTCCAATATCAAAAGCTTTGGTACAATGTTTCAGTTTCAAGTTTAGTTGAGAAATTCAATAAAATGGAATATTTTCGAGTTCAGCAGCATGTTGAAGTTCATTGGAAGCCTCGAAATGTAATAAATTATTCCAGAAATAACCAAAATCAGAAATTGAAACAATTATTTCAACAAGACCAGCAAAGAATTCTTGATGGACCATCAAATACATCGATACCGCCTTATTCTTTCTATCATTTAAATCTAATAACTAACACTAATGAATTAACAAGTAGCGATCAAATTTTCACCTCAAAATGCGAATATGATAACAGAACGAGTCTATCGAATTATTCTACATTGTCTAATTCCACCACAGACCTAAGACCAGTCCATGATGTTCGCAGGAAAGTTAAGTTTTTCGAGGATATTTGTAAACCTAGGAATTCTTTAGAAAGCAGTAAATCCTCGGCTGATGAGCAAATGATGCATACTAGAAAGACAAATCTTAACAGAAATTACTCATGGTGTGATTTAAGGACAGTAGATGATAACCTGCCATCTTCAGTATGTTCAAAACTCTTTTCTCCCCGTTACCTGCCAGAACGAGCAATGTCCTGTTTGGATTTGTCTTCTACATTAACTGATTCTCATTCTCTAGACGTACCCTCAGATTACTGCGATAGGGCATCATCATCTGTTTCATTTCAGTCAAATGAAGCTGCGTCAGTGACAAGTGAAATCGACTCCTCTCACCATATTCAAAATGGTTGCGTAATGCTCATAAAAAATAAATTAAAAGAATCTTTTAATCCATCTATCCGAAATTTTCATTTACAAAATGTAGTTCATCGTTCTAGCAGTGTTCCAAAAGATTTATCTCACATGGGAATGGCTAAAAGTTCCAGAAGAAGGGAATTTTCTATCTTCCCCAGCACTTTCTCTCCCGCTGCTTCAGGGATTATCTCAGGATCAGTTCAAAATCTGAAGCAAAAGTTTGAAACAGAACTCACTAAAAATTCGCTACCCAAATCTAACTTGAGGTTTATTAAATCGGATAGATCTAATTCAGAATTTGGTCCCAACTTCCATGGTTATTCCAGTAAGCCAGAGCATTACAGAAGTGATGCAGACCTGAGAATGACTCTAGATGCTTTTAAAACCAGCCAGCGATCTGAAAGCACGATAGGTATAAATATTTCCAATGATGAGTTGTGTGCTGAATCGAGAAACGTAGTTTCTAGCAAATTTTCGATGTATCCATCGGTGAAAAGACGGATACAAAGTTTAATTGCTAGATTTGAGAACAGGGAAGCAGTTAGAAAAGTAATTACAAAAACTGAACTACCATATGAGAATTGTCGAAATTCTTCAGTTAGTTACAAGAGTGAATGTCGTAGAACGAACTATTTCTTCAACACGAAAAGCACGAATAAATCTGCTTTAATGAGTGGGCCGAAGCATTCAGTCTGGAACAACATTGAAACTTACTTTCCCCAGAATATTTTCAAGTTCTTGGATGCCAGTAAATATTCTCGTCACACATATGCAGATATATCAGCAAATTCCAAATACAAGCAGGTAATTTCATATGGCTTACTTCCAACTGCCTCATCGCTGGAAACATCGCGATTGCCAAAGGTGCAGAATTGCAGCCCAAGACCTTTTGTTAGAAGCTACAACAGTAGCACAGACTTGGTGGAACGACACAGAAAAGGTTATAATTAATAAAACTTTCCCGCATACTAACTTGCACATGCACCATTAAAAATTTTGTATTGCACACTGGGCAAAATACTGCACAGCTGATGATGCAAAATTTGCACTTTTTGAGGCTGATTTACGCAATTTTGCACAAAGGCACTTGATACTCTAACCCATATATTTTTAAATGTCTTCTGCATGAAAAATTAAATTATCATTGTCAGCTATATCGACTGAAATTTATTTCTTTATTAATTTCATTCTAAATTTTAAATATAACGTGATCTTCTCTGCAATGTGTATTCATTGTTTTTAATTTAGATCATTTTCCATCATAAATATTTTTCTTTCGTTTACTTTTGATAATATGTTTTATTACAAATTTTTATGCATTACTGCCTTCTGATATATGATAACTTAAATTTTAAATCTGTATTTTTATGTAGAACTAAGCTATACTGTAATTAATGTAGATGTAAGAAACTTTAAAGCAATTTTAATTCTTATTCATGAAAGCTGGCTGTTTTCTTGGGTAGAATATAGTTTACATGTAATCTGCAAGCTTTATTCATATTTGAGAATAATAGTCCCGTAAATACAGGGCAAAATGCAGATTTCCTATTGCAGTCTTATGTTCGCCTTTCTGTTGAAATGTTATTTCGTCTGAGGATCTCATTGGAATAAATATTGATCTGAAGTTTGCACAGAAACATATATTGATATTTTGGACAGTGAGTGTAAGTCTACAAAAGTTTTTGAATTTTACAAAGTTGCTAAGTTACCAGAACTGAGTAAAATAATCAATTCAAATATGCATTTTAATACAAAAATCCTATTTTAATGCTTTTGAAATTCTCACACAGTTGTTCAATTACATACTGTTTCTATAAAAACTCTGAATTCATCAGATTATTGCAAGCACTGTAACTGTAATTCAAGTCACTCATTGGTACGATATAAGTTTTCAAAATTTTGCTTCAAAAATTCCTATAATCCGTTCTTTTATCGCGTTCTTTAAATTTTTAGTTTCATCCAAAATTTTGAACACAACGCTGAGCTAAAATTTCATTAGAGTTTTAAAAAACAGAAATTACATTTACTAAGTATAAATTTAAATTACGGAAATTACAATAATTAATTATTATAAAACAGACAAATCGACAACCTCGTATTCGGCGTAGATTTTGTAAAATCCCATTTATTGATGATGATTCCCCATTATTGCCCCCCCCCATGATTTTGCATTTGGGGATTTTATTTTCCACGTCGTCGTGTTTCCCTTGCGTCTTAATATAGTATCAATTTAATGCGGAAGATAATTTTCTGCTTAGTCAAAAACGTAATGGTTGATTGAGGAACATAACATCTTGTAAGCCAGCTGTTTGTTGATCAACTCTAACTTGAATGCTGTTGATTGCATCTTTAACAGTCAATTTCATTTGTATTGTTCGCTGTTGGGAAGACAGTCGTTATGTGTTCTATATTGAGTTAGATGGCTCTGTTCCGGAACCCTTTCTTTGGATGCCATCCAAAACTGTGCATCCATGAATATATGTGGCGACGTAAAACACACGCGATGTCGTCTGCTTCCCAATTGGAAGATATTATCAAACCAGACGCCTAGCTCTTCAAAACTGACTGCCACTCAATGTGTATGTCTTCGAAAGCAAATGTTTTGATTGGCCATTTTTATGCGTCATTCGTTTTAGAATGTAAATTTTAAGATAGTAGACTTCTGTGTATTTTGGTTCATAAATTTTGTTTTGTTATTTGCAGCGTCTCCGCACCAGTATCAGGAAACGGAAGTAAATATTCATTACCGAAGTCCAATTCGTCATCTAGAAAAAGAATACATCGAAGAAGAAGAACTGAGAAAGCGTCAAGAAGATGCAGTAAGTGAAATATTTTTTTAAGTGACAGTAAAATAATAAAAGCTGAAGATATAAGAAAACAGGCCTTTTTTATTATATCAGTAGTTTATATACACCTAGTACTCTGTAAAATTATTTTAAGTGATGTAAATTAAGAATATAGTGGTCGATTTATAGCCAGAAAACTTCTAATATATTTTAAATGCATAAATTATGATATTTCAGAAGTTAAAAAATAATGCGTAAAAACTTTTCATGAAGGCTTAAACGTGTTAGTATAATTCGATTTGCTGAACATTTACCTTTTCATATATCATTTTGAACGAAAACTTTGAGGGCCCGCTTACGGATCAAGTATGAAAGAAATACTGCTGTATTTTTACTAGAACCAAACAAGTATAATTTTTGAATTGGCATAAACAATTTGAAATTGTTTAGTAGTAAAAACACAAAGTAAATTAACTTTAAAAAAATATATTCAGAGATGTAAAAATGACGCTTCATTTAATAGAAATTTTATTGTTCACTCAAAATTAAATGTTTGCTAATGTGATAGGATATTTCAAATAACTAAAATTTTTTTTTATGTTTATGTGCCTTCGGAGAAGAGGTTTTGTGCATTTCAAAATAGTGAAATATCTCTATTTTATTATAAGGTTATCTTACGCTTTTTATGATCTACACGTCAATTAAAAAGCGATTGTTATCCTGAATAACTGGATTTTGCATAAATTAGACTTTCAACTACAGAGGTGTATGCAGAAATGGCTTGAGTTTGTCTCTCAGGACTGCACGAAAAATGCTGTATAGTGTGATGAGAGTAGAAAGTGATTGTATCAGTGGAAAGCGTTCTACTTTCTTGTGTAAAATCAGAAAACAGTGATTCACTCCCTTTCTGATCTTAGGGATTCACTTATTGTATTTTTATGTATCGTGCGTTATTTTATTTAAAAACGCATCTGACGCGCATTTTTTTAAGGAAATTAACAGATTTTTGTAACGTGTTTCAGCTTCAACGGTCTAAAGTATCACCGCGTTTTGTCATTCTTTGCCTTAAGTAATATCCTTATCTGCAGTAAATAGGAATGTACTTCTAATTTGATTAATTGGCTTTACTGGCACATAACAAAGCGTTGTTTTCTATGAAATCATTTAAAAACAAATTTATTATAAATAGATAAGAAAAATTTAAATAAAGCCACATAACTCCAATGCATAATTCTCCTAATGCTTTCTTCTAAAATGCTAAATGTTTCTTCTCTTTTCGATTCTGATATTCTAGTTGTTGTGAATGATTTGCAGTAAGTAACTTTAAGCGGATTTTCTTAAACGATATTTTGAGGAACCGTATTATTCCACGATAGTATTTATGTAGCTGAGGGAAAAAATAGAAAAAATTCTCAAAATATTAATTTTTTAAAATTTATACTTAGTTCATTGGTTATTTAATTTTTGTGCATATTTTTATCACAATAAAGACATCCCTTGCAGTCCAAATCTATTGCGACGAATTTTCTATACAGGTAAATGATTTTAGTCAAATTATATATAATTGAAGTATAGCTTACATAATATAACAAGAAACGAGCAGAATACGAAGCATCACCGCAAAAATAGGTTTACAGGGGTAAGTCCACTTAACATTGAGGTAAAATTTGTCCTTTAAGTGCACTCTGAATAGTGTTCTCAGTCATAAAATGATGAAATGAATAATGGAATGTTTGGAAGTGCACTACATACCTGGGCATTTAAAGGTAATTTAAAGCGTTAGAAAACTAAGCCTGTCGATGAGGGCTTTAATAACTTTTCTGCATTACAATTATTTTCCCGCCTTTTGTGTAATTATAAAAAATATTTTATCCAAAGTTAACATATTTAAAAACTATTTACAACTGCAAGGTAAAGCTATCTTTAGAATATTGGGAATATGTAAATATAAAAACACAAACTTATAAAAAAAATTAGCAGAATTTTTTAAATAATGCATTTTTGTGAAATTTTTTATGTTGCATTAAATTATATATACAGATGTATATGAAGGAAAACTTCTTTGCATTTCTAGTACTTATATATATATATATAATAAATACAAAATCATTATCTCATATCGTCAAAAGTCACCATGTTTGGCGACCATTTGGCCACATTTTGGTTCGAACCCTGTGTAACTGTAACTATGTCCGACCCATGTAACTGTAGCTACGTATGCCTTGAAGCAATTTCGAGAAATCGAAAGTAATGGAAAATTGCCGGCGAACGGGGAAAATCTGTTTAAGACCGGATAAAGCATCACTTTTCAGTTCAGTTTAAAGTACTGAGAGATCACCGTGCGAACTTTCGCTTCTTGATGCGCTTTGCACTGCCTTGTGTTCAACGTTCTTAGTAATATGAAGTGGTAAATACTGATTGTGCTCTGTCATACTGAGAAGAGCTGTACGAGTACAGTACAACTGCAGTTATCCGAACTCCGACTATCCGAATCGCTGATTATCTGAATCGCTTTCAGAGTTTAAGAAAAAAAATTAAGACGGAAACGTAGTTTTAGGCAATCAACGATTTCGGACATTAAAAGGAGCAAACCTACACTTTTAAACTTCGTGACACTGCTTGGAAACGAAGATGGAAGTTCAAGAAAATCAATGCAGGGAAAAAAAAAATTAGAAGATGTTGTTTACAAGTAGTTTTGCAGCAACATTCTCTGGGAAACCCAGTTTTGGGTCCGATTCTTTGTGAAAAGGCTAAGATCTTAGCTCAGAAGCTTGGTTAATCATTCGTTAAAGCAAGTAACGGCTGGCTAAGAAATTTTAAGTGCAGGCGGATTTTAAGTGTCCGTCAGACAGCTTACTTTGACCTAGATGTTCAACAACAATGACTTTCAGCACTTATAAGTGCCTTAATAACATGTACTCAAAAGTGTTACCTTTACATTTTAATTAATTAAAACCTCTTTTTCTTTAAAAATAGTTTTTTCTCTCCTTTTGAGCATACAGTACATACAGTAATTGAAGTTTACGTAGACTCTTTCTTCGGAAAAAATCCAATTATCTGAATTATTGATTATCCGAGTAGGATCCGGTCCGAATTGATTTGGATAGTTGGAGTTCTACTGTACTTTTTTGTGAAAAGTTCCAGTACTGTAAAGTGTTATTTTGGGGAAAAACAAATTTCATCAATTTGTCATCGGTTCTGTGCGCATTCAATCCATTACGAACCCGTGCGCACGTAACACTATTAACTGCGTAGGTGTCTTATCCTCAATCCGCATTTCATCTGAAACAAAACATAGTTTCAAATATAATACAGTATAATAAGTGGGTATTTTCGGGATGAACATCAAGAGTTTCTTAACATTTTATTTGGTCTAACTTATGAGTCTGTGTATTAAGACACTGGTAACTTGCAGAAAGAATACCGTCCTATGTCAACAAAATCCGTCTTACTTCGAAATAATTTTTTTTCTCAACATTTTTCAAAATAAGACAGTAGCTTATATTGATTTTAAAATGTGAAAATTCAGAATGTGAACAATATTTGAAAGTTTATAATGATTTTGATAATGCATAAAAATAAGAATTGTAAAAGGAATTTTAAGCATAGTATCGCTTTCTGGACATGTAGACAATCTTAATGAAAAGAAAGTTTAGAAGGTGAACTTAACGTCGTAACTTTCAAAATAGTTCACAAGCTCTAGATTTCCGTCGACTTTTCCGACTAGAAAAAGCTGCTTTAGAACACTAACGCAGCATTGAAGGTAATTTGTATGCAATGAAAAGTATAAAAATCTGCTGCTAAATATTTCTTCAAAAGCATTTGAAAACAATTTTTGTTGGAAACAAATTTCATCGCAGTAAGTGCTGGTTCAAATAATTAATTCAAATAATACAAAGAAAATTAATTTACATTAAATAAAAATAAATACAAATTAACGCAATTAATAATTAAATAATTAATACAAAGAAAAACTCTAAAATTACTTGACAAGCCCACCACGGGATAATGGGGAAATCGCTGAACACTGGTAGTTCGACCGTGTTCAGATCCTGCGAATAAGCTTGCTGCACATGAAGTTTCATATTTTTTTCCATGTATATCATGAATATGGTCAAATTTTCATTAGAAAATCCTCAACGAAGACATCCTTCTGGCAAATACCTTTTGTGATTTTTCCGGAATCGAAGATGTTTTGGTATTTGCATTGTTATATCAGTGGCAATAATTCCCTTCCTGTTTAGAAGCAAGAAATCCTTTCTCCTGCTACTTGTTCAGATCTGAATGAATAGTTCACGAGGTTTTAGACTGCTTATTTCATATTTAAATGATAGCATTTAGATCTTAAAAATAATCAGACCTCAATTCAATATTTGTAAACATCCTGAGCTGTTAGAGATAATACAAGCTCTGAAATCCTTAAAAACTTGAAAATTATGCAAACAAAAGCTGATATCTATTTTTAATGAATATCCTTCCAAACTAATTAAATAGTATTGCAGACAGGTAATGGTAACTTTTTATGCTTGCTTACACTGCTAGAATCCCTGGAAGATTCAGCTAGAAATTAAAAATGTGTCATGCAGCAGCAAAAATAATAATAATAATAATAATAATAATAATAATAATAATAATAATAATAATAATTCCTGTCCATAATTGTTCCTGAGGGCAGAAATATAGGACTTAACATAGGACTTAACAGATTTCAGGTTAAACAGAAAACTGTAAATTGCCTTCTCAGAATTACTCAGTGGTTATGTTAAAATTCAATTCATTAATACAGAGAATGGTTTCGGCTTCTAGTGGGCACATGAAACTATAAACCTCTCCCGATTACATATTTTCTTGCTTTACTTTAGATCATTATAATCTAAATGTTAATCTCTACGGAGTTTTGGAATTGTTATAGATGAGTGAGTTGTTAAACTTGCTATGATAACATTAACTAAACCAAGAGGAATTCGTAGCAATAATATACTGAGATGTGTATTGTATAATAGATATATTTGCATCGGAAAAACACCAAATTGCGTAAAAATGTCCATTATAATATGTCTTACTTGTTATATGCATAAATCCAAAACAAATGTGTACAAAAAAATTATAATAGCCGGTTTTTGGTGGTCATACTGTTGCATCAGTGATATCGCTGGTTTAGTACATATTGCATTAGGTCCCCCCGCCCCGTATTTTCCGAAAGATACAGTTGAACCCGTATATCCTTAATTTAAAGCTCTCCAAAATGTCATCATCTACTAATTTTTTAAATACTTAAACGAGTAAGAATGAGCTTTAACGTTATAAAACGTAGCAGTTCAAAAATCACTTAATATTATCTTCTCACAATAATAGCAACCACTGTTACTTACATGCGCATTTTGGAACAAAATAAGTTAATGTGGAAATTGAAAACAAGATCCTATAATGTATTCTCAGATTACTCGCCATTCCTCGCTTTTAATGTATAACACCTGCAGTAGATAGTTATAAATATGATAACTGAGGGTTTCGATTATCAGTGCTGAGACGGTATTTTACTCAACTTTTTTTTCACTGCCAAAGTTGGAAAAAAAGTAATTATTGTTTCTTCAGTCCTTTAAAACAGTGCATTATACTGTACAAGAACAGCGTTTCTTCGTCAACTTCCTGCTCTTTAAAGATTAGGCTTGAATGTCAGAAACCTATACTTTTATACCTTCCGTTATTCGTTGCACTTCTACGTATCCATTTGAAGTCTTGGCATGCATTACCTGTAGATGTGAGGGCATTACTGTACCTAGTTTTAAAATTAATGCACTTGTATCAATGCATGCACTTAGAGAAGGCATGTAAGCATGCACTTAGAGCTGTTGATTTTAGAATTTAATCGAAAATCTATCTTTCGAACGAATCTCTGTTGAAGATTTATTTCCTTATTGCGAACCTTTACATTTCTTTTTTCATTTCTTAAATAATAAATGTCTTATTAATTCATATTTCTGCGACATGATGTTTTACTCTCTGCGTCTGCTGCCATTGATTGATTCTTATTACTGATTTTTATTTTCTGTTTGTTAATAAAACTGCTCTCATATTTTCTTTGTGACTTGCAATCACAATTACTGTCTTAGATTTGATAACCTTTAAATGGATAATTTATTGAAGCAACTTGATATCTTTCAGGGTATAAAAAGAGTGCTCTGATGTGTACGAATAATAAGTGTGCAATTAAATAGATATTATTAGAATGTTTGATTGAATTAATTTTGAAATTATGCTTAAGTGGTTAACATTTTAAGATAATTCACGCTCTTGTCATTAAAATTATTTACATTAAAATACTTTAATATGGATTAATTAATGAATAAGTTATGCTGAATTGTAATTAAGTAATGAAAATGTATTTACTTGTGTGTATAGGATTTGTAATTATGAATGATTTTTCTGTGCCCTCAGGCAGGTTTCTTAAATGTAACAATCCTTTTGTAGCTGAAATTTTAATGTACTTTTATCGAAATAAAATGTTTTAAATTTTAATAAGGTTTTCCTAGATTCAGTATTTTTCCTGTTTTTTAATTTTTTTATTTATTGCTTTTTCTGTTATTATGTAACTATTTCATTTTGAAATATGTTACAGAAGCATCACTGCAGTTTCATTATCAGAATATAAAATAAATTTTCGCTGTATATTTTTCTTTTTAGATGCGAAAACTTTATGAGGAAGAAAGACGGAAAAAGCAACAACAAGAATTGGCAGAAATCGAAATGAGAAGGCACAGTGACTTTTTTACGTAAGTAATACAGCAATGCAGATTCATTATGGAATTTAATTGAATGTACACTAAAAATAGTGCATGTACCACGTTTCAGTAAAAAATATGAGAATTTTTCATGAGTTGTATTATTTTCCTGCAATTAATAACGTATGCAATTCACTATTTTGATGTGACTGCATCTCAAAATCGGTACTATATAACTGACATATTCGAAAACTCGGAGTGCCTCGAAATAATTTCCAGTTTGTTATGAAACGTTTCCATGGTATTTTCGGTTGCCTCCATTCTGTTTGATATCATTGGCTAGAACACAGGGACGAAAATTTCTTGTGGACAGTCTCAGTGTCCAAAGGCTACACATAATGAATGACGCGCAAGTTGGCTCAAACCTATGCCAGCGTAACAAGCACTAATGGCAAGAATAACGCAATGCAGTAGCCAGGCTGCTGTCGAAGAGTTTCAACTAGTAATATGGCCTGCAGCAGGCAGAACACGCTCTCATTAAACAAACTAAAAACCCTTCCTTTAAAATACTTTCTCTTTATGCCTCATTTAAATACGCGAGAACTAAAATTAGCATTATGGAAAGAAAACGTAAAAGGAGAATGAAAGCAAAGCTACTGAACATAAAATAACTGATTAGATAAAAATAAATAAATCCTTACAAAGTATGAAATATAGTTTTTATAAAAGACTTATACTCAGCATCATGCATACTTTTCTATCCTGTTTTAATGTCCATGGATTGAAGAGACTCTCTTTTCTAAGAAATATCACATAACGTATAAAATAGTTTTGGAACGAATATCTGAGCTGTATAAGTATAAATGCCACTTTTCTATATGGGAGTTATTTGATACAACGTTCATGCCGATTGGCCTAGATTTTAGTTAGTTTAATCCTGGATAACGCACACATATTTACAACCACTGTGGCTGTGCAGAGTACGTTAAAAATCTGTCATTCTGTAAGTCTTTTAAAAAAAAGCAACAACAAGAATGCCGATTCGACAAGAACGTTCATGCCGATTGGCCTAGATTTTAGTTAGTTTAATCCTGGATAACGCACACATATTTACAACCACTGTGGCTGTGCAGAGTACGTTAAAAATCTGTCATTCTGTAAGTCTTTTCGAGAAGTCGATGGTAAAGAAGAAATGATAGCATATGAGGGGAAAATAAACAAATGCTCCCACCGATGATTGTTAATAAGTTTTGTTCATGTGGCTTAAGGCTGCGATGCAAGATATGTTGCAACTATAACAAGTACATGTATAGCTTCAACATTTTTTTTTTCAAATAATAAAAATTCATGTTTTTGAATTTATTAATATATTTTTTACTTTGATTTTTATGAATTCATTGCATATTTTACATAGACCGTCTCAGAAATCACCTATACCTCTGAACCGTTATGACAATCCTTTTGAGCTCGATAACCGGCTGACAATCACAAGGTCGTCCAGAGGTCCTCCCCCCAAAACAATGGCAAGGGCTTTGTATCCATTTGTGGCACAAACGCCTAGGTGAGTAGCGCAGAATTATGATTTTTTAATGCTATTCTTACATTTTTAAGAGTCCTTATAAGCATTTTCTTTTGGTTTGCGTTTCAGGTTTCCAAATGGAATTTAACTTTTATCAAATATTATTAAACACCTAAAATGATATGAATTTTATAAGAAATTTCATAGTCTTTTAATAACAGAAACTTCTAAAGGATTTTCAGTTTTGTCCGGTAACAGATCATTTCTTTAAAAATCCCCATCACACATCATCGACTCACAAGATTGTCTTTGTTAAGCGAAATTTTCAAAAAAACTGGCTTGTTTAAATTCTGCTTGGAATCTAAAAATTGTTTTGGGTTTTTCTCTTCTTCCTGAGTTTTGACATACTGAAAAACTTTCGTGTAAATTGTTATGTAATACTTCTTAAAATTATTTCAATGAACAGTGATACCTAAAATTCTTGTTGACATTTAACTTTCCAAAAGTTTCTTTGTATTGCAGTATCAAAATTCGTAATCTGCCTTTAACCTAGTGGGTAAGCAAATGTAATTCTGATGTATAAATCGACCATTAAGTGCTTTTAAGCCCCATTTGCTTTTGTCTCTTAATATCAGTTTTTAATACCATTTTGGAAAAGATATTCTGTCTTGAAATCTGAATTGAAACAAAACTATAGAAACATAATGCACCTGTTCTTGAAGTTGAAGAGGACTACAACAGTAATCAAACGCCGTAACGATATACTTGTGTCTTTACAAAGAACAAAAACTTTACAATTGATAAAATTTATTTCCGTTGATATCATTGTTTCATAGCATTAAATTTAATGTGATATAATGACATTAAAATTAGAATTTTTTAGTTTAAAATAAAAATTTTAATCTGGCAAACTATTCTTAAGCATACGCGAGTATAATCGGAGAACTTGCTGTCACCCATTTCAGTGATATTTGACAGACACACTGTCGTCTGATTCAGCAACGGACTGACATGCAACGGATGACATTAGGTCTGATAAAACAATACTCGGAGATGAATGTAGTACCTCCGTAGTCAGCGGCAGCTGACTCACTTGTTGACCAACTATCACCTGAAGCAACTTGTGGCTGATAAACAAGTGATCAGTAAGTCGTTTGGGTTTCCTGCGTAATAGCCGTATCCCTCAGATCTGATGAAGCAGTACTTGGAAAAGAACTTACTTCCACCCCGAATCAGCGACGACTGTCTGATACAGCTTTTTCAATTATGAATTATGATACAATAAGGATTAGTTAATCGTTTTTGTTTAATGTGATACCTTAAAACTATAAAGGCGGAGAACTTCGTGAGAGAATGATTAAGCTTTGAAGCTTAAGCATAGCGTCAAATTCTTTTAAAGGAATTTCACTGGATTTAAATTCGTTCAGTTATCAACAAACTTGCTTAAGAATATTTTCCAAAATTATCTTTAAATATGCATAATGCGATAATTTGATTTCCAGAATGGCTGCGTAGTGTCGCCTTTGCATAACAGTATCAAATATACGTGAATATTCATGTTTGAGCAGTTAACTAATATGTGCGTAAACTTCAAAGTAAAAGAGGCATATTTTAGTAGTTAAAGAGAAAATAAATATCTGTATGGCGTTCACTTTGGCGTGAAAAAGGCCAACAAAATTTAGCACAGCATATTAACGCTCAGTTTTATGTGAAAAATGGACACATCGATACGAAATATCAAAGATGTTGAACCAACATGTTAAAGAGCATATAAATGGAAGATGCCATTGCTGACCCTATAAATACACGTCTGGCTATTGCTACATCATGAAAGAATGCTGTTATCATAATAATATTTATTTTATTTATATATTAAAAGGGAATGTGAGATCGTTACAATCTCAAATAGTTTGAATACGCAGAAACCGAAACTCCAACTTCGCTTCTGGGAATAATAGCAGCTGTTATATGGTTGGATATGGAGTCGAACTTGAATAGTAGTATGTCGGCTTCAATTATATTCCAAATTTTATCTGTCGTACTAATTGTCGAAAACTGTCATGCCAAACTCTCTTCAACCTTTGATCAGACGTTTTCAGTTGGGAAGAGATCTGGAGAACGCATCGATTAAGGTGCGAGTCAAATATTCTGTATATTGGGAAAACCTAGAACAACATGGACAATATGTGATCTGGTATTGTTCTGCTGAAATATGGGCTCGAAAATGTGGCACAGCTTTGGGCATTAAAATGCGGAAGGCCCATCATTTGCTTCCTTTCTGCCTCTGACGTTGTCTCATGGTGCCATCTGTTATCAAAGATGGGAAATGTGCCGCTGTAAACTTTCCAGTTTCCCTGAAGTTGAGAAATGACCCTGGGAAAGAGCCTGAATTAATTTATCGCAAAGAAACCGAATATCGTACCGCCAGGCCAAAAACACGCTTTCACTTGTCTTCCGAAATTTGGAGCTCTAGCTTGGTGGGAGCACTGACTGGTGATCGGGACAAGAGCAAAAACATAATTAGCATAGCGGTAGCTAGTCTTAAGTACCGGATATGCAAAACGAATGGAACGTCCTGTCAGCCTTACCCCGTGCTATCAAGCAAAGTGTTGGGCCGGATGTGTGACGATGCAGAATGCGAACTTCCACCATTCTTTCTCCTTTGTGTTTCTCCACATGGATACTACTGTCATGATATTGTAATCAAAGTAAGAGTTCTTCTGAAAAGACTACGGCTCGCGATTGATGCTCCCACATGGGTCATTATACACCACGAAGATGACATTCGTCCTAGTTCGTGCCGTACGGAATTGAACGTCATTTCTGCGGAAATCAGTTACATTGGCATACAAGGCCTGTTGTTCAGTACATATTTTTTTTCTTTTGTTACAAGATATTTTGCATAGCACAGTATTACATATGAACATTCATATTACACTGAAAGCACCAGTGTAGGCGCTGATTTCCGTGCTCTAGCGTCAAGGGAAACTTAAATAACGGTCACCTTGCTGACGAATATGCGTCCGGATACTTATGCTTTGCAACATACCCATTCGAGATACACTGCGAAAAAAAAAATGGGACAGTTCTGTATTTCCCGTTCTATTGGGCCGGTTGACGAAATTCAACTTCCGTTTTTCATGTCTGGAAAGCACTACTTAGGATATGTATTAGGTTTATATATAGCATTGTTCTAATATAGGTATTTTGACACAAAATCGGACTTTTTCTGAAATAACATACCAATGTTTTTCCATATTTCAATTCTACGGCTCAAATTACGCGGACGTACCAAGTTTTGTAAAAATCGCAAGAGTAGTTTTTAAAAAATTAATGCTCAAAATTTTAGCTCCTCAGTGTTAATTGAGTTTGGTATCTATATTTATTAATCTCTTTCTTATTAAACTTATTCGATTCTTCCTTTCAAATTTCGAAATTGAGGGTCATTCCAAATTAAATTCACCCAATTTTTTATGAAATTATTTTTAAAATTTGTATTTTTAAATAATTTTATAAATTTTTCAAAAAAACATTTTGAATTATAATCTATAAAATTTTTACCGTTATCTTAAATTAGACGTATTTCTAAGTTTTTTATTCAGTGAATTTATATAGTGGTGCATTTTGAAATTTGGCATATTTGTTGAAAGGGATAAAACATCAAATGTGGTTTAGACACTTTGCTAAAATTATTTGAAAGTAGGAATGAAGTGACTTTTTTCCCGGTCATGCACAATGTGAAAAGGTAGGTACGAGATGTCTTTTTCTCCGCTCTGGCATAATGGAAGGGAAAGGAAAATTGGTTTCTATATATTAAGAAGTTCGCCAAGTGAATTATTCTTGGCGCAAACTAAAAAAATTGCGTCAGGATAAATTTTTTAATTTCTCCGTAAATTTCTCACCAAATTTTACAAAATTTAATATTTAGGCATAATTTGGGTCGTAGAATCGAAATATGAGACATGAAAAACGCAATTTGAATATTGTCAATTGGCCCAGTAGAACGGGAAATACAGAACTGTCCCCTTTTTTTAGTCCAAAGCGGCTTTGTCCCTGAAGGACTATTGTTTTCGTTTTGCGATTTTGCGTTGGTTCACTATAAATGTCCGTTTCACTTTTCAAACTGTTGCCACCAAATGTTAGAGTCCTGCATTATATTTGAAGAAATTAAATAATGAAAAATCTGAATTAACTGTTTCTTATTTTCCTAATGTTTATTTATATCAGCATCAAAACTGGTTATTAAATATTCACGTTTAAAAGAGAGTATGTCTGATTTTATTATTGTTGCTGCTTTATTATTTCTGAAATGTTAAGTATGATTTCCTTTGTCTTTCCTCTTAAAGGGAACTTAGCTTGAATAAAGGAGATATACTCTACATCAATAAGCAAATCGATAAAAATTGGTTTGAAGGCGAACATCACGGCCTTGTTGGCATATTTCCTGTCACCTATGTTGAGGTATGATAAATTTTTATTTCAGTAAGCATATTTTCCCCCCTTTATTATTTATTCTGTTAGTAAAACATTTATTTGATGAATGTTTTTGTATCTGATATTTTAATACTACTCAACTTATTTTCTTTATGATGATACCAATGATTTTCTTTAAAGTTCAGTTAAAACTGTGTAGGAAGTTCTCAACTAACATCATCATATCATTTCATCTATCACCAAATTCTGTAATATAGTTATCTAAAATAATTGTTATTTACTAAGCATAAAGCAGCTCAATGGAGATTACAGTCGCAGTGTTCAATTCACCATCTAATTACACATTACGTTACACACTCCAATTATTATTACTATTATTTTATTTAGAATCTATTTACAAGTTGGTTCTTCTAACGCCTTCATTTGTACATAGGAATTTACGAACTTCTGGTGTTAAAGTAAATGTTTAGAATCGAATTAAGTATAATTAACTTTTATAGATATTGACATTTATACAATCATAAAATTGTAATTTCTGACATTATTTGGCATTTGCGTCTGATCTTTGTCAGTAAGTACTTTTAATATATCAAGAATAATTGTACTGTAAATTTTAATCACTATTTAAAATTTCTAGACACTGAACTTTTCGCAATATAGGTGTGAATAGGTACGAAATATTAAGGTGCGTAATACTCTTGGGTGTGATTATGTTCAATAAATGCATAACATAAATACTATCCGCGATACAGGTGATAAGATAGATTAGTTACATCATCGAAAATCAAAACAATATTACAGTACTTATTAAGCATGCAGAGGCTTTTCCCTTTTATTTTTTCCCAAAAAGAGAGGGGGGGAAAACTTAGCTTGATTTGCAAGTCATTTTCCTAACCTCTTTGCTGAAACGTAAAGGAACGGCAGGATTGGTGTATTGCAGGGTGTACTATAAGGTTTATTCTTCTTGACCAAGGTCAACAAGCAGTGGCTATAAACTGGAAGAGTCAACTAATTGCAGGTATTAGTGTTTTATTGACGACATGTGCGCGTTATTTTGATGAACCAACAAGAAGAAATTTTATTTGCTGTAAATCTTATTATAGATACCGCAGTTTAGTGTCTAGTTAGCAATCAGTGTTTAATATTGTAAAATCATACTTTGCAAAAACTAATATAATCTTGAACAATATAGTTGCATTGACGGAACACCATCAAAAGCAGGCTGCTAAGGTGGATATATTGCGTATTTGAAGAACGAATTGCGGAATGGTTTGCGTATTCATTGTATGAGCCATGTAGCAAAACATTTAAGTACAAGGTCTCCATTCATCATTAAGCATAATTAATTAAAGCTGTAAAACAAGATCAAATCCAATGTCTAATAAAACAGGATGTTTCGACGGTTATGTCAGGACATTAAAAGGATTTTTTTTAAGTTTTTACATGCAGAACTTCGATGGTTGTTTAGGCCCACCAGCAGCCGAGCGGTAAAGTCGCTGAACACGGACAGTTCGGTCCGAGGTTCGAATCCCGCGAACGGGCTGGCTGCCTGGGCGTTTTCGTGGTTTTTCGCATGTGTAACGTGTATACGAGCCAATTTCCCTTAGAAAGTCCTACACGAAGGCATCCCTCCCCTTAGGCAGATAGCCCTAGTGTGTTTTGCCATAATTAAATAAACCCAACCCAATCGATGGTTGTCAAAAAGTACTCCTTTTGTAGTATTATATAATAGTATCATGCAGTTTTTAAAGCCAGTAGTGAGACTAATCTTTGTCATTAATTAAAATAATAAAAGTTGTGATTTTTATTTGGTGCCATTTCTAAAGTATTTAATGAGGTCAATTTGCAGCTTCAAGGAGAACTGTTATCGTTTGCAAAAATATTGTGTCATTATTTATCGATAAAATTGTTCTTTATCATAATCTATTGAAAAAAGAATTTCATTAGTTTCCCGAATTGTCACCTCTAAAAGACGATGTAACTCCAGAGGAGACTAAAAAGTTCAGTGTCGCCTTACTGAGCTTGAATCGGGTTTAGAGAATCCATTTGAAGGTATTTTGAACTTGGTAGGTTATGACAAGGGGTATGACAGGAAAATGATGATGGAAAATGTTTTTAAAGAAAATAATGTTGAGGTTGATATTGCTTTCCAAGAACTATTAGAACTCAAATATGATGAAGAGAGTAAATGTAATTTTAATAGTGGTGGATGCGAAATAAAATAATGATTAAATAAAAAAATGCCTATGTTATATCCAACTATGTATAAAATTATATTTAATTTAATCATACTTTTCCCTACTTCGTATTTTGTAGAATCGGGCTTTATTGCTGTTAATCTTACTATGACCGAACAGAGAACCCGTCTGAATATTTCTGAAAGAGGAAATCTTCATCTGTTCCTTAGCCCACCAGCGGCCGAGCGGTAAAGTCGCTGAACACTGGTAGTTCGGTCCGAGGTTCGAATCCCGCGAACGGGCTGGCTGCATGGGCGTTTTCGTGGTTTTTCCCATGTGTAACGTGTATACGAGCCAGTTTCCCTTAGAAAGTCCTCCACGAAGGTATCCCTCCCCTTAGGCAGATAGCCCTCGAGGCTTTGCCATAATCACACACTCATCTGTTCCTTAAGAAAATTGAACTGGATATTAAATATTTTGTCTCGCAGCATCAGCCTTAAAGATCGCATTAATAATTAATTAAATATTTTACATCTTGAACACTTTCAGAAGGGTAGGACTGTAACTAAAATCTTAAAGTCACTTCTTAACTATTGCATTTATCTTTCTTATTTATTTCCTTGTTTTAATGATAAAATTTCGCTTAGTGACGCTAAATAAGTTGCAAAAATGGCAGACTTCTGTCAGCTTTCAACATACGTAGAAACATATATCTAAAATTAACGCCAAATTAAGGTTGAATTTTTCCTACTTTTAAGAAGCTTTGTATTAAATTTTGATCGTAAATATCTATAAAATATCTGTCATTTTCTACAATAGTAATTATGCATTTCCTTTTAGTTTTTGTTTTCTTAATATATAACATTAATTCAAATCAGATTTTCTTGTAAAATTCACCTTGAAGGTATCGTTTCCTGTATGCAGATATCTCTGGTTTTCATTAGCATACTCAAATAACTCATTCTAATTCGTATTTTTATTCAGATCATCCCAAGTGAGAAAGCCAATCTGCAGCCTCGAAAAGCTACAGAAGGAGAAGCGATTGTCAGATACAATTTCCGCGCCCAGACACCAGTAGAATTATCCTTATTTAAGGTAAGTTTCAAATTTCAAATATATTTCCATGCCTTGATACCAGCTCGCTTTAAAATATCTTCTCTATATTGATGCCAGTTTGTTTAAAGGTGCCTATACAGGGTGATTCGCTACCAGACCGACAAACTTGCAGGGTATGTAGGGGGTACAGAGGAGATTCGTAATCACATAGGAATGCAGGGTCGCAAATGCCGTAGTTGCGGGCTATGGTGCAAAGAAGCAGAGAAAAAGAACGGAAACAGCAAAACATTGATGGGACAGAAAACATTTTATTGAAAGGTTGTATTACAACTGCTGTTCGAAACTACGACCAGAAGTTGGCAGGCAAGCCTAACAACGGCGCTGCATGGAATTCCTTTCGTCCTGGAAGATTCCTCTCAGCAATCTGGCGGTAGATGGCTCTGAACGGAAGGTTGCGTGAACAGCGATCCTCCTGAAAGTCGTTATTTGCGATCCGTTTCTCGAGGTAGTAGGATGAACGCGTATTCTAACGATTAACTGGTCTTGTATTGGAGCTGCAGATTGTTACGTTCATTGTTACGGCGGTTGTACCAGGACGGTTATTCTACGCTACGAGAGTCGACAGCAAGTTGTGAGCCGCCAGATGTCGCGGCTAGTAAAAAACAGGTCTGCCCGACCAAAGAATATACTTTTGTTTGGCCCGACATCCTATATTCTCTGAGTACGGAAGTTGTCGAAAGCGCCTGAAAAAGTGTTGCCGCGTCGTCAATCAGTGTTGTGCAGTTGACGTACTAAGTAGACAATGGCTTTGTAGGTGTTTTCGCTGCTGATTTTTCCATATTTAAACGAAGAATACGGTCGTAGATCTCTGAATCGGTGGCGAATTTATAGAAAATATGATGCTTTTGCTCTGCCAAAAGATGTTTTCATTGCGTATTTCAGATTGCTAAAATTTATAGTTATCTTAATTTGCAATGAACTGAGAGAGTATTTGAAGCCACATTCAGAAAACAAAGTAATTTCTAATGAAAGAAAGGTTATACTATTGCTGAAATTATAGATAAAAATTGTAATTGTATGCTTTAAAAATGTAGAAGAAAATAAGTTTATCAAGCACATAAACCTTCTTCATTTAATACAAATATAGACATCCAATAAGCTTCTACTCGATTTATGTACAGCAAGAATTACGTTTACTTTAAAATCTAACAGTTGAATACCTTACGAATAATACTGTGAACACAAAAAGGAATGTCGTTCATTATTACGCGAAATTCACACTACTGTAAAATAAAAATTAAAAAAAAATATATAAAACTATAAAATAGCTTTATAATATTTTTTTCAGTAGCTGTACTACTACTAGTGTGATACTTTTAAAAATAAGTTTTAGCGCAGAGGGGCTATTAATTTCGTTTTGCCATTTGTGGCGTTTCACTTTTCAAATCGTTGCCACCAAGTATTATCGCGCTCTATTATATTTAAAGAAATTAAATAATGAGGAATCTGCAGAATGTATGAATGTTTCTCGCACTGTGATAAAAACAACGGTACCTAGAGCCATGAAATTCTGAATAACGTAATCCTCCATCCTAATATAGGCATCTGGAGGCCCAAATTTGGAACTGGGAATTTGTTTTATTATCTATTTCATATTTTGTAAAGCATTTATGAGTTTTTGATTAAGAAACCCAACGATTTCAAAGCGAGCAATGGCAACATTGTACGGAAAAAAAAACATTTTCATCTCTAGCGCGGGAGACTATGTATCGGAAATTCTAAAGATATGCTTTTTTAAAATTATATGATATTGCTGTTGAATTGAATTTTATGGTTTAAGTGCGAAAAACATGATATTTAATAAATAAAGATGACACGCAAAACGTTAAAAAATAGCCCTTTGGAAGTAATATAAAATCTGAAGGCTTTCAGGGTTTTTTTAAATTTATTTATTTATTTTCATTTTTTTTTTTATTTATTTTTATTTATTTATTTATTTTTACTTCCTTACGAAGTAAAAAGGAAGTATTGTAATCGCGAAAAGTTTCAGCCAGCATATTTCAACGAAAATATCCATTTTGACCGCTATCGAATGCAATTTAACGATGTTTTTGCGTGATATCTGTACGTAAGGACAGAATAAAATACTCTTTTCCTTCAAAAAAATTATAAATTTGCTTTAAAATTAATTCTGAAGAGAATTTTTCGTGGCGTCTGTACGAACGTATGCACGCACACGTACGTACGTACGTATCTCGCATAACTCAAAAACGAGTAGGCTCAGAACGTTGAAATTTTGTATATAGGACTGCTATAACATGTAGATGTGCACCTGGTATTTTGGTTGCAATCGGCCGCACCAAACGTATATATATCCACTCTATTACCCGGCTCAGTGATCTCAGTTTCTTTACTCTTATATGTTTGTAAATTGTACATTTTTTGCTTTAAAATGATTGAATATGTTCTTTATCTTACAGTTAAGGATTTTATGCCTTTAGTAAATCTGTGTGCAATATTTTTATAATTATCAGCAATTTTAAAGTTGTTTAATTGCCGCTAAGCCTTTTTTAATGGTAGCCATTGATGTTTACATTTGAAACAGGAGACTAGTGGATTTGTTGCCAATCTAGAGAAACTTAGCTTCCAACAACTACCTGCGTTCAGCTACTCTACCGCTCGGCGGCTGGTGGGCTTGTTAGTAGAATTATACTGCATCATTATTGTATGCTATAAAGTAACAATGCTATAAGACTGAGGGTTTGTTCATGGAATAGTACTTTTGTAACCTCTTATAGTATTAAAAAATCATTGTTTCTTTGCAAATTAAAAAAAAATATATATATACTGTTCATAGCATTTTCGTTTTTATATTGTAAAAGAGATATTGATTATTATTAGTTTTCTATTTAAAATGTGTCGAAACGCTGGTTTGACAAGTACTACTTCAACTGCAGGAGACCTACACTGATTATTTTTACTTTAGTACTTGCACTGTGAAAATATTACTATCTTTTAATTATTTTCACAGAATAAAATCTTTTGAGAAGGAAGAATATTTAAACTGAGCAGTTCTTATATATATATATAAAATTCAAATAACAGCAATGTAATATTTAAAAAAAAAGTATTAGTAATCGTGTGACAAAAATTGCAAAACGAATTAATCACACATACAGGATAGATTAGTTTAAATTTGGTTATATATTTTATATTGAAAACATATTTTCTTTCATGTTAATTATAGAATAAATTATTTAAAATAAAGCATTTTGATGCGTGTGGGATAGTTGAATGCAGCAGCAATCGGCCATACTGTAATAACGAATGAATTTTATTTCTTTTCCTGAAAGAAATAATTTTCATAGGAAAAGAAAATAAAAAATCTGATGTGTACACCGCATATCTTCCATGTACGGAATATTAAATTATACGCATTTTTTCTTGCATTTTATTTAAACTTATTAGATTGAATTAAACCTACTTCGCCGACAGTGCATAAACCACAATAGAATAAATCCATTCTTTAAAATTCACTTTGTTTACCATAGCGACACTCTGGCGCTAGGTTTACTTAACAGTATTATATTTCATTCATATTATAACTCAGAATGCACAAAATGTATATCATTTAAAGAATTATCTAATCATTGCCACATGTTCTACTCAAATACTATAATAAAGCTAGAACTATGTATAAAAGAAATTAAGCAAACAAAACAAAAAAGAAACAGTTTTTCACAGAGGATTGAGTATTTCTCATTTAATTAATTCAGTTCTCAGTTCGCGAGAAGGCAAAAATACATAAAAACTCAAAATATCTATATTAAAAATTACGAAGTAAATCTCAAACGCTTATTTCCTCGAAAAAATTCCAGAAAGAATTAAGCATGATTTAATTTCCAATAATAAATTAATGCGTTATCTTTGTTGTTGCGAAGCTAAGTTTCTCTAGATTGGCAACAAATCCACCAGTCTCCTCCTTCAAATGTAAATATCAATGGCCGCCATTAAAAACAGTCTTAGCGGCAATTAAACAACTTTAAAATTGCTGATAATTCTAAAAATATTGCACACAGATTTACTAAAGGCAAAAAATCCTTAACCGGAAGATAAAAAGAACATAATTCAATCATTTATAAAGCAAAACATGTACAATTTACAAACCTATAAGAGTAAAGAAACTGAGATCACCGAGCTGGGTAATAGAGTAGATATATATATATAAATATATTAATTGAAAAAGAAAACGTTTGGTGCGGCCGATTGCAACCAAAATACGAGGTGCACATCTACATGTTATAGCAGTCCTATATACAAAATTTCAACGACTGAGGCTACTCGTTTTTGAGTTATGCGAGATACGTACGTACGCACTACGTTCGTACATACACCACGAAAAATTCTCTTCAGAATTAATTTTAAAGCAGTTTTATAATTTTTTTGAAGGAAAAGAGTATTTTATTCTGTCCTTACGTACAGATATCACGCAAAAGCATCGTTAAATTGCATTCGATAGCGGTCGAAATGGATATTTTCGTTGAAATATGCTGCCTGAAACTTTTCGCGATTACAATACTTCCTTTTTACTTCGTACAAGGAAGTAAAAAGGGAAGAAATATTAAGAAATAAATATTTTCTTTCTAATTTCTTATTTAAAGAAATATTTTTTCAGTAGTAACTGTAAAATAAATTGCGGGAAAACAGTTATGTAAGCATTGGGGGAAAAAAAAAAACTTAGTTTGCTATTAGATTGTAATGCAAATTAATCATATTATAAATTTAAATGATTAAAATTGTTTATTTCTAAAAGGATTTGAAGTAAGCTTAATTCATTTACTTTTATCTATTTACCATTGCTTTCGTGGTATTCCATATCAATCTTTAATTTCTTAGCTCTAAATTCCTGCGTTAAGTTTCCCCTTAAAAAACGGAATATTCTTTCACATAGCACAGCAGCATATTCTGCTGCGTGTTGGTCATAATACATATTTTGTACAATTTTTTTCGAACTACAAATGCAGCGTGTGAGCTAGTGAAATAATGGGAGAATATTCCTAGAACTTCAGCCAGCGCGTGCTATAAATTTCGTCACTCGTCTGTACTGCGATTGGTCTAAAGCTCCTTGAAGCCTTGTCCCCTTTCAGTAAAGTTAAATGGACTCACCCGCCCACCAACTGAAGACCACAGAATGGCTTTCTTCGATAAGTTGTGATGGCTGTCCATACTGGTTTTTTTTTTCAGTCAATATTGTTCGCTTAAGTTGTAGACAGATCCAGTGATCATAGAATAGGCGTCCTGGAACGTTACCCGAATAAGCGTGCTCCACATCACACGACTTTTGCAAGTGTGAACAGAAGGTTACGTGAGACGGTCTTACGTTTGGCAGAAGACAATCTAAGTATGAGTACTCGAGCGATAACCCAACAAGTGGGTTTATCTCAATCCCAATGTGTGGAGGATACTCGCAGCAAACCAAATGAGCGCATACCATCTTCATCACGTCCATTTATTAGAGCCTAAGGATTAACCACTCCGGAGGACGTTTGCTACATGCTTCTTGCAACAGAGTGCTACAGACAGCGCATTTGCTGCATCCGTATTGTTCACGGACGAAGCATACTTCACACTTGAGGAAGCCTTTAATCAGCATAACGCCAATGTGTGCACTTTGGTCAACATCAACCCCCCTCATTTGAGACCTCATCGTACAAAACCACGTGCAGCACAACAGCGTTTCTCGGTCAATGATTGGGTCGGCATTCTTGGAGACTACCTCATTGGAGCGTACCTTCTGGCCAGTCCTTTCTACGGTAGGGCATATCTGATCTTCTTGCAGCAAGTCCTGCCCGAACTTCTTGACGCAGCACTTGTTTTTCCGTCGTTGCGCCGCTCCATGTGGTACCAGCATCCCAAATTATTCCGCAGTTGCGATTTCATAAATCATTCCTATTATGGATCCCTGAAGCCATTTTCGAGAACCATAAAACAATAGCGTATGTCTTGTCTTCCTTAGCTAAACAGAAATTTCTCGGTAGCTCAATGACAAGGATGCCACTTTTTTTAAGACAGGCATTGACCATTTTGCCTCGTTTTAATAAATATTTCAGTCGTCATTGACGCCTTCTCGAAAAAAATAAGGTGTCCTCCCAGACCTGATTTGCTGCCCAGATGTACATAGATTACGGCCTTAGAATTAAGAAGATTTGATATCATTTCCTCGTAATCCTATTTTCGCCTTATAAAAAGAAAGAAAATTTGCCTGAGAAAGAACGTTTTTCATAAGGCTCTAGACTAGATATGTCCATCATAGAGTACAGTGTATTTATTGTATGTTGTATTCCAAATAAGTTAACGTCTGAAGTGATAATCCTCTTAAACTTATTTTTAGGATCCATGTGTAGTGCATTTAATTTCCTACATAATTCAGCTTAATACATATATTCATTTATTGTCTATCCATAAGCAGTGTTTCTGAACTTTTCAGTATTTGCGACTCAGTTTTCAATCATAATTTTCATTGTCCTCCCTCTCATACAACGACAATGTGCACAATAATAATCAAAGTACTTTGAGAATTTTGATGCTAAAACTACACTACAACCTTAATTAGAAACTTTACATATTGCAAAGAATAATATATATTTTATTAATATTTAGCAACACTGATCCGCTGCATGACAAAACCAAAATCGATGCCTCTCTGTTACCGTCTGTGTTACATCTAAAATATCGGACATTTTCGCGGCTTTGCCATAATTTCCAATTTGTCTGGAACGTCTGCGCAACTGTGACGCAGACGTGTAAATTCTGCACCTCCTTGAGTTCCACCCAGTCTCAGTCGAGTCGATTCTTTTACCATTAGCGAATCTATCGTGAATGTGTATGTTTCAATTTGTGTATTAGCTACTTCAACCGTCGAACGAAGTTCAGATATTTACTCAAACATATTTTTCCTTCAAAGATAAACTTTTTACGTCGAAAACTGGCCTTATAAATATTTCTTCCCCCCTTTCACCACTCGTCAAGATCTTATTTAAAAAACCATGTACTCGTCTCCTTACACAGGAGAAACATTTCATCAGTGCGCATCAACAATCGCACTGATGAGAGTGGTTTCAAAAGTAAAATCGAAAAATATTCTCAAGAATACTTAAATTTTGACTTAGTAATGTAGTAAATGAAGAAGAATATTTCTGTCATTTGTATATCATTTTATCTAACATGTGGCAGCAGACAGCATGAAACTAAACGACATTTTTCAGTGTGTGCGTTAACAAACCTAGAGAATTCTTCACACTAACATTTAAATCACATGAAAACAAAATTTATGTTTTAAAAAACCTTTGTTTGTGAATGAAAAAGCTTTTCTTGTTTTCCTACAAAGTTTCATATAAAATAGCCAGATGTAAAACGCCTTACACCATTGGTGAAGAATTATTTTGCCAGCGTGCAATTGAAATTGTAGAAACTATGCTTAGGAGAACTTTTCTAAAAAATTGCAGTCCGTACCTGTATCAAGTGAAACCGCTGCCTGTTGAATTTTCGATATAACTGAACAGCATCAGCTTTTCGGGAAGATGCGTGACAAATTGTTTTCATTTACTGAGGCAACAGATAACAATAAAGATGATCATTTAATTACCTATGTTCGATTTTTGTGATGGTATGCCATCGGTAGAAGAACTGCTTTTTTGCAAACTAATAGAACTCAAAGCAAGAGCACTCGCATTATTTGTTAAAAGATTTTATAAATGGGCCAAACATAAAGTGAGAAAATTGCTTCGGAATAATGCACCGATGGTGCTCCTTCAATAACTGGAAGATTCCAAAAGATATAAGCACTCGAGAAACAAAAGTCTCCACAGTATGTTTATGCATGATTCGCTGATTTCTGGGTTCCGAAGAAATGAATTGTAATCTGAATTATTGTGCTGACAATTGTTGTAACCGTAGTGAACCGTATTTATATGAGAATCAAGAATCTTTTTTCCATTTTGTAAAGGTATGGGGGCAGTGCATTTAGCGTTATTATTTTATTGTGAGGCTAGATACTTATAAAGTAAAAAATTTTTGCAACATGTTTATGAATTAAGAGATGAGATCGTCAGTTTTCCAGAATAGGAAAATCGACGGAAACTGAGAAGTTTTGAGATGGCTAATTTGTGATGAAACTGAAAAACACATTCGAAAAATTAAATACTTTGAATTCTAGAACTCCAAGAAGTAAATACACATACTTTGCATACGAGTAATAAATTAATGCTTTTTGTAGAAAATTAGAGTTATAGAGCAAAAGTTTAAGATAAAAAAGTCTGGAAGTATTTTCAGATGTGGAGGAAGGTGTTAAAATTTACAAGGCTGAAGAACAACATGTAAGATTTTCTTTATTCATTCTCTCATAGAGAATTTTAAAAAGTATTTTCTTGCTGACGACATACTGATAGCAACTTACGAGTGGCTTATAGATCCATTTCAAAATACTCCCGAAATCAACAGCTGAAGAAGAAATCTTTATAGATTTTATAGCAAGTGGCGAAATCAAATTTATCTTTGAATTTTGGGCAGAAGTGGATGACGAGTTTTCTACGCTGAAAATAACTTTAAACCTTTCTTTGAAAACTTTGCTCTGAAAGACAGACTCAGTGAATTTTCTTATAATTATTAAATCTGCTTTTAATTTAGCATTGATAAGTTAACTATGAAGTACTTTGTGCAATATGACACAATCATATTTATAAGTACGAGTACAATCATATTATATCGGTGTAAAAAATTAATTTTTTTTATTATATCAGGATGAATTTTGTTCTGCTTTCCTTTCAGTAAATTAATCGATCATTTTAATAATACTTTCTTTTCGATATGCTCGCTCCCCATCTGTAATTATCACAACCCGTAGAGGAACGCGCCCCACTGGTTGAGAGCCGTTGTCATAATATTTTTTTTGTTTTGTTTTGTTTCAAGTTAAAATCTGTAATAATTTACTATAGTTTGCAAGGATTAAAAAGTTGAGTAATTTAAATTAATACATATTTAATATCTTTTCATTATTTATATTTCTATGCATCATAATGTGTGTTATAATTTGTATAATTCGCTTATAATTATAGGGAGAAAAAGTAGTTTTGACAAGGAAAGTTGATCAGAATTGGTATGAAGGTCGCCTTGGAACAAAAAAAGGAATTTTCCCAATTTCTTATGTTGAAGTGCTGCAAGAGCCAGGAGAGTGCTCGCTCGGTAATTATATCTGTCTTTTTGTTCACTTTTTACATTCAGAAAAGATTTACTGGCATATCAGATTTTTTACATCGAATTAATGCTATCTATACTGAGTTAATATCGAGGCAATTTTATCGAAACACCAATTGTGCATTTATATATTTGCTGATAATGAGTGTACTGGATGTTCCAAAAAGATTGCACGGCTAATTATATGTTTTCATTGGGAGGAGGGGGGAGGAGGGGGGAAGAGTCAATAAGAATGTTTTCCTTAACAGAATTTATCTAATAAAAAATACCACCCTCGTATACTACTTGTGATAGCGTTAATAAAACCTTCAGCGCATCATGATAGAAACAGCGCGGAATACAATTATGTTTGTAAATTTTGGAATGTATATTTTTAAGGCACCATTTCTAATAGAAATAAATATCTGTATATAGAAGACTTTTCTTCAATCGATCACTTGTAGACACGTTCATATTCAAAATACACACACACACACAACACACATATATATATATATATATATATAATATATATATACAGGCAAAAACATCGAGGACGAAAACGTCGCGGAGAAAACATCGTGGGAGAAAACATTGCAAAGAGAAAACATCACAGCTCTAAAACATTGTGGTGCAAAATATCGTGGTCGAAAATAAAGCGGTTCAAAAACTTCGCAGTTTAAAAACATCGTCGTCAAAAATATCGTGGTAAAAATTAAAGTACCTATAAATCATCGCATGACGATAACATCGCACACTTGCGTTTTCAGTATTTGAAAATTATAAATGCATGTTCGTATAAAGATCGTAGAGCACAAGAAAGAAAGAAGGATTTTTTTAATATCATTTCTACATTTCATATCTACATTTCATATATTTGAACGAATTAATAAATTTTTGCTGAAAAAATAAGAAGAAAATTAAGCATTTAAAAATTGAAAAGGAGTAGAAAATTAATGAAACTTAAAAAGCTTAATAGAATTTTAAATGTATATAGTTAATTAACAAAGGTCATTAATAAATTAAGCTCTTTTTATAAACTGATAATTTTTCATGAAAAATACAGTCTAAAAATGCTTAAAAAAGGAAGATAAATAACTGCATGAGGTTACCTCTATAAAAATTGCTTAGTTAATGATCAAATTATTTTCTTTCACATTTGTTAATCTGATATTATTTTAATGAAAATTACATATTGTATTGTTTCCGTTTATTCTTAAAGTGTCGTTAACATTTTCATGTATAGCGTGCAATCGATTTTTTGGATATCAATTTGTTAGTTATAACGAAAGTCAGTTACATAATATGTTACTATGCGATTTGAAAAACGCATGTATGCGATGATTTGTAGCAACTTAATTTTTTCCCACGATATTTTCGACGACGATGTTTTTAAACTGCGAAGTTTTTGAACCGCTTTATTTCCTACCACGATATTTTGTACCACGATATTTTAGAACTGCGATGTTTTCTCCCATGATGTTTTGTATTACGATGTTTTCTCCTTGCGTTGTTTTCTCCGTGACGTTTTCGTCCGCGATGTTTTCGGTTGTAATCATATATACATTCTGAATTTTGCATAATCTCATTTTTATATGGCTCCTAAAGCGATTTCCTTTTGTCTGTAGAAAGTGATATAATTAAATTATATAATTTTAAGTTATATCATTTTTATAATATTTTTCGGAACCGAATTTGCATAAAAACGAATTTTTTTGACAGATTTTTGATAGGTAAGGAAACACTTAACTCTTAACATGTACAGAAATAAATACGGAATAGTACTCGTTTGCTACAGCTACTGAAGTGTGTTTTCTAAGCTTGCAAAAGTACAGTAACGATTATTATTTCCATACAGTTTCTAGTCGGATTGTAATTATCAGATTCCATAACTATACTTCAATTGTAGTATCTAGATTAATACAAATTTTAAAACTGTAGGTATAAAATAAAAAAGAGGCACCCGAGAAAGTCATTTATTAATTCTGATTATCGTCATCTATCTGACAGGGTTCGTACGGTCCTTAAGAGTCCTTAAAAGCCCTTAAGTTTTTTGGAATCGATTTTTGGTCCTTAAAAGTCCTTAAGTTTGGCCAAAATTGGCAGAAGGTCCTTAATTTTAATCATCTGAAATTTCTGTCTGTTTTTACGACTGCCATTTTGGCTGTGAATTAGCGTTTTGCAGGAATATTTTTGGCGATTCACAGACAAATATGGCTATTTTTTGAATGGGGTGAGTTATAATTTGTTCCTATTTGTAATATAAATAATGGTGGGATACTCTAGTTTCTGAGCAAGAAGAGAAACATAAGCATTTCAGAATTATTTCATTTTTTGTAATGAAGAGCTCTCAAACAACTTTCCGCTTTTGGGAATGTGAATTCTTTTATTAAACAGTTCTAAATTTGGCGATTATCAATATTTTGGCGATTTTATGATAGGTTTCTGTAGAAAATTTTTAATTCCGAGATCTGGAAATTTTTTGACGATTTTTTAGAACATTCTAACATTGATAAATTTCATTAAAATAATGGTAAATATTGGAATTATATTTAAGAAATAACATTAAAATAAAGCATTTTTATTTTTCACTGTCATATTATAAAGTTCCCTTTTGGCCACATATTATACAATTTTTTGAATCTGAAAAATAAGCAAGGAATAATGCTATAAAGCATAGTTTACAAAACAGTTTTTAGGAAAAGCAAAATAGCTATGTAATTAATTTAAAATGTCTTTTTAATTTTTTTATGGTAAGAATTTTTCCCATTTCTCAGAATGATCAGAATTCTCAAAAAATGCATCAGTTTTCTCTATAAAATTAATTTCACATTTTTTTCCTCTGATTTTTTTAAAAGACATTTCTGGCTTTTTGTTGTTACAGAATTGGTAGGGGTAATTTTTCTTTAGGATTTTAGACATTGAAGCTTGGAAAGTTTAGAAAGATTTTAAGGCAAATTTATAGACCCACGATTCTAAAAGATTCCAAAAACATGTGATAAAATGGAAAATGTCTCCATGGTAGTAACACGCAGTTTCTGATGGACTTTTATTTTGGAGAACATCTGGAAGAACAATGAAAACATAATAGTTGAATGTTTTACTTCTGATTCTAGAACCGCTTTTTTAACATTATTATCTTCCCTTTATTTTCTCTACTTTTCACTAGATACAAGCATGGAAAATATCAAAAGTACTTCTAATCTTATCATATGGAAAGGCATTATAGAAAAAAATTTTTTGTTAATAAATAAATTGGAAGACAATTCAAAAGATTCATCTAATATGTCTTAATGCATCATACATAGAGCTGGCGCTAGGCATTTTGCCACCTGACGCAGTCTCTGTGGATTCTAAATTCTGCTTCCAATGCCTGTTCTAAATTCTAAAAGTTTTGCAATTTCTATATTTTGTTGCTCAGTGTGTCCCTAAATTCTAAAAATTATGCCACACAAGCTCTGTGACCAGACTTTACCATATGTATTTCATATTTCTTCTGAATGTTCGTATTACTAAAGAAATAAAATTAGCAGCTTTTTCCATACACTCTAAATGCATTTAGTTTTTTAGAATAACAGAAGTCTTTAATAACATGCCAAAATTTTAAAGTGAAAAGGAAACGTGTTGAAAAAAGAAACTAAATATGCAAGGAGAACGAAAATTATTCTTCAAAGATATGTGCAGTTATTATTATGTAAATTACCCAATTATTTACAGTTTCAGCCTTACTTTAATTTCCCATTTCTATTTACTCATCAGAATGCAAATCACTGTTCACAAGACAGTTTTTAAACTGAGGTTTTTGGAGTATAAGACGAGTGTGTTTCTGACCTCCCCTTGCTCCCTTCATTAGTTCTGTCAGCTCTGATAATTTGTAATTATTGGTCTTTCGATTACTGCTGCTGACATTTGAGTTTATTATGACAATAGAGTTACTGAACCAGATTAAATTGAAATTAAATTGTAGCATCTTTGACCGCTAGTCCATATTTTTAGTTTGAATTTGACTCTTCTTGTTTAATTATATCACCACAAACTGTAATTGATTTTGTTAGCATAAGAACAGGCCTATATGTTCCAAGTTCGTTTTGAATAAGAAGCTTATTTAAACTTTTATTTAAACTTATTATCTGATTTATAGTTACTTTTAGACATAGTGATAATTTGATCACGTCTGTCGGGGAGGGGGTTCGGTCTATTTAACTTTTACCAGATCAAGTAATCCCTCATAGGTAGTACATTGTGGAGACGTTGGCAGTTAGGAGATAAAACACGCAGAAACTAATAAAAACATTGTTTTGCATATTGAAACAAATTTCTAATTGTTAGAAAATATGCTTAAGGAGAAGGAAATCGATATAAATTAGCCAAAATGTCTGGGCAGGCCTTCAAATTATAAAGAGGCATAATTATTTTGTTGAGTTTTACGTTTTGTAGCTTTTAATGTGTAATTATCCTAATATTGTTTAAAAATCAATATCATAAATTGCATGTATTTTAAACTGTGAAATTTTATGAGATTGTGATATTAATAGGGTTTTTTAAGTATATTATTAAAAAATAAATTTAATTTAATAGTGGCCATGTAAATCCATAATGAATAAGGTTATCTAATACCTAATTTAATTATAACTAAATGCATTCTCTTAAAAATGATCTCTCTATATTAAAGCAAGTTATTGCCTTTCGTTAACATGCTGAACCCGGCGTCGGTCCCTGGGAACCGGCACTGGAATTTTCGTTTGGCTGGCGTCGGTCCGCGGGACCGACAGTATTAAAGTTAAAAAATAAGTATAGTCTCAATGAAATGTGATCAAATGTAGTTTTAATGAAATTTATTGAAACATTCTAAACAAAAATACGGCTTAGCTTTACACATATTACAATACGAAACAACTATTTTGTTAACATTTTTGGCTATCTTGTATCCAAACAGTTTTGAATTGTCATCATAACATTTCGAACAATACTTTCGGACTTTATGTGCATCTCCTTCCTTTTTGTATAATTTATGAATAATTTAAGTCGGCAATATTGCACCGCTTGATCGCAATATTGCCGCCGGCTGAATGGAAAAGACAGCAAATTCGACCCCGGGCTCAACGTGTTAAACCTTTACCGTGATCACAAGGTAAAACACAAAAAATATAAAAATTCATGTGAAACTTATTCTTTGCATCTAGTGAGACTTAATGTAAAACAACTTATCACCGCTAATGCTTTAGTGGCTTAATAGAACATTAAAGTATATTAACTGAGTTACAACATCTGGAACTCTACACGAAGCTACGACACTAACAGCGTAAGACAGAGGTCAGCTAACTTTCAAAACTTGCTAACTGTGCCTACATCAGGCCTTTCAGGTTTGCTCTGATCAGCAGGTCTCTCTATAGGCGAACAGGAGCGGTGACAACAGCCAGTCTTTTGTTATGAATCATGCTGATTATGGTTTTAATGCTCATTTTAACCTATGCTGCTTGACATAAAATCTACTTAATATTTACTAAACCTGTAGGCTGAGCAAGCATGTGACAAAATAGGACATTAAAAAAAAGGCTAACTGTTAGTAAAACGTGATAAATTTCATAAAATTAATTTTATTCTCAAAATATTAATAATTATGTTAATTAAGTTATGTTTAATAATAATGCATCCTACTCGCGTTCAGGCATAGATATAATATTTTTAATTGAATTTATTCAGTTCCTATTTGCTCATAATTTTTTTCATTAATGGTCCTTAAAAGCCCTTAAAAGTACTTAATTTCCTTGTGCGGAAATGTGTACGAACCCTGTTTGAATTTGATGTAAGTTCATCAGTCAGTTATCATAAATTTCAATCTTCTGAAAATTAAAAATTGACGGCAAGTACATTAGTTCAGGTTTACATAAAAGTTTCGTATTTAAAAGCGCAGCGTCGTCGACAGATATATGCTTATTTTCTAGAAATATGTATATTTCAGATTTTCTGTGTTTCAGTATATTAAGAAAAATGTATTTTTCTCAATACATTGAAACTAGTGTATGCTTTTTGATAAATCAAAAATATCTGTACTTTATATCACTAAAGCAACATTCTGAAATGCATGTCACTTAGATCTCAGTCCACGTAAAGTACCGTTAAAATGAAATTTCGTACCTTAAATTTCGTTAATAAGTATTTAAGTCAGCAAGTCTTTTGAGTCCATGTCTTATTCCAGATGGTTTATTTAAAATGTTTTAAAAAACGCCAGTGTTCTAAATGGTTAAAACCACTTTGAAACCACTTTAGACGGGTACAAATTATTACCTAAAATGCAAAATTTACTGAGCTTCACAGTTACTGTAATACTCATAAAAAAGTGAGATAATTTAATTACCCTAATGCAGCTTTAAAAAATACATTTGTCGATCTGTGAATGATATTGTCGCTTTCAAAATACTTCCCTTATGCATCTGTTATATTTTGGGAGCCATGGCTTTCCAACACTCGTGTGCAAAATTTAAGACGAGAGAGTTTTTCATATGTAAAATCGTGCAGAAGTGTGCCATATTGAACCAAATCTTAACCATAAGATCCCCAAGATGTGCAGATATTGGACAAGTACGCAAAACTTGTAGATTTCCTCACTGTCGTTCTACTAAATGTTGAGGAACCTAGTGAACTGTTAAGCAACTTATCGCTAAGTTCAAATAACTGGAAGTCGTAGACTCAAGAAGTTTTAACAACCCTTTATTTCACTCAAAATATAATGAAAAGTTGGCTCTTTTCTCGGATTTACCCAAAGCCTCCACTCGGGCTTGAACTCAAAGTAAGAAATAAGAACTAATTACGAGACTTACCCGAAACTAACACAAGTCTAACATAGTTGACCCTTAATTTAAACTAACCGGCGAATATCAAAGGGGACGTAATATACGGCCGAGCGTTACAGCTTTAGCCCGAAGGCAAACACGCGCTACTCAGGATTCCTAGCTCTCTCTCACGAATCAAGTTGAACCTTCCTTTAATACTACTGTAACTCGTTTGCATTCAACGCGGTTCTAAATTTCATTATGGTAGGGAGTTGTAAATGAAAATAAGAATCGATAGGAAAGTACATTAGAATTAAAAAATAACTCTTATAAAATTAAACATACCTTACAACCTTATACCTTACAAATAATTCAAATAGGGAATCAAAAGAATAAAAAGGTATTTTATTGGACAGATAGTTCCGATCACAACTGGAGAAAAGACAGAAACCTCCATACGGCGGGCGCATCGCAAGAAAACTGCTGTCTTTAGAAAGAGATATGATCACTTTTGACTGAGATGCAGCAATTACAATGCCTGTCAACGATGAGGACAAGGTTGTCAAGAAGCTGTTCAAGCCTCAGAGCCATTCCTCTTGTAGCACAAATTTCAGCTCCAGAATCATTGCGGACTTCCGGTCACGTGCTGCTAAGCCTCTCCCGAAAAAGTCCCCGTACGTGTTCTGTGAGATTTAGGTCCGGAGACTTTGCAAGCCAATTTATGCGTTAAATAGCTTCACTTTTCAGAAGGTCTGAGACACTGCTGTATGCGATGTGATGTAGCGTTGTCGTTTATGAAGAGAAGTCCGCATTCATAGCAATTCTACAGACTCACGTCAGACAAAAGACCCTCGGTACAAAAGAGACATTAGTGATTGAATCTCCTTAGAAGATGTGGAGGTCTGTATGACTATCAAACATGATACTACCCCAAACGAGATCTCCGGCACCTCCAAAACTTTGTCATTTGATGAATTTGGGGGAAGGAGGGGTGACTGTATGTTTTCTTCTCTCTCAATTGGATTCTATCCGTTAAAAGCACTTAACCCCCACCCCTGTTGTGTCCAGTTCTTGTGTTCCTGGCACCGCAGAAACCGGCGTCTGCGATGAACAGGCATTAATGGCACCCCCCCGTACTGGTCGTCGTGCAATTAGACCTAGTTTGTGCAGCCTCCTGGCCACGGCAAAACATGATAGCGGACGTTCAATAGTTTGTTGCATGTGCCTTGCGATTTTTCTCGTACTCTGCCGCCTGCTTCATCTCGCCTGTAGGAAAATATGCTGGTCGTGCCACTGTTCTTGCTCGTAGACGACCACTGCTGAACGCTGCCGTTTAAAATGCTCTATAGGCTCGTGAAACGATGCTGTGAGTCTTTGCGGCATATATGCGTATACCGTACTGTAGCGGTTTCAAATCTGTCTACTTGCTCGTCTTTCGGTTCGTTCTGTTGCCTTGTTCCGCCTTCATGCTAACTCCTTTCCCCCCCGTCCTTAATTTTTGCTCACATTTTGTATTTCTAAAAGCAGGCCAGAAACTCACTTTCTGGAATACTGTCTCGCCTTTCACTCTCGATATTAGTTTTATTGGAAAATATTCTTCCCTTCAGCCATAGCTTTTAATTCTGAAAGTAGGCAGTAGTAACTGGGAGTTAAGTCTCGTGAATAGACAAGAATGATTAATTAAGTCATTTGCTGTTTTAGCAAGAAGGTCTGTCGCAAAAGGAGCTAATGTGTGTGAGACCCAAACTCCGCAAAAATCTTTCTCGTGCCTAGTTCTTCTTTTAAAATTAGCTTAACTGACCAGTGATCAATCTGTAATTCTCCATTTATCAGTTCACACTTGATCCTTTATTAAATCATTTTTCATCTAATAAGCTGTTAATATTATCATCCGTTATTGTTGTTTTTGCTATCTGCTTCTGTAATCATCCATTTCGTAACCTCATCACTTAATTTTATATTGACATTTTGATGGCGTCTTTGCTATTGCCACTTTTAAAAGCTCTGTTTTAATTTCTATTTTTCATACAAAATGTGATTTTTATTTGCTGCTTTGAATATCGATAATCCATTATAGCAAAGTGTACACACCTGCCAATAACTATACTTGCTTCTATCAGCTTAAAATTTGCATATCTATTTATTCAAACGTATTCAGTAAAAATCACATGATTTTGACATTATGGGATGTAATTTATTATATCTTCTATCAAGCATCTCGCCATCACAGCCCTGCCTTAATCAAAATCAGATAAATGTTTTGCTGTTCCCATGCTGAATGAAACAAAATGTTGAATCATTCGAGTATTATACATGTTTTTGATAGGGGTCTATGCCTTCCATTTGCTGTAATTTGTATATTGCAGTATCGCTTTGAATATTTTAATTGATTCATTTATGCTACGCAACTTTTGCATCTGATGTAGGATTATCAAAACAATAAACCTATTTCATAGAACTACATCTAGGCCAGGCTACCGATAAATTTCCTGTCCAACTAGTATTCATGTGGGTTTAGATATAAGTTATGAACAGCTTGGAGTTGTGGACTCACGGTTTTTCCCCACATTGTCAAATTGTCACAATTTTTCGTCAGAAATTCCCGGCTGTCCAAGATTTGTTCTTTTACATAAATATTTATTATTTTGAAATGTCGAAACAACTGCCGAAGGCTCGTGTAGCAGAGAACGCAAAACTCTATTTCGAGCGTAAACAAGTAACTGGTCGTTGAAAAGAATAGCACTTTCCTTGCTGGCAACTATTCAAAACTTGGAAACCTACTCTTTCAAATGGTCAGTGATTCATTTCGTCATGATGCTTGTGGAGTGCAAAGTAGAATGTATATGAATTAAAAAAATCCCCACTGAACTTGTCTTTGTTATAATCATAATTATCATCACAATTAACGATGCTAAATTTCATATAATTGTGTCAAACTCTTAATTTCCATGCGAATTATTATTATTGCATTAGAAGGTAAGTCTTTCATGTAATTGTGTTAAACTCGTCATTCCCGTAGAAATAATTATTGTTATTGTATTAGAAGGTAAATCATGCAAATTAACATAAGAGTACGTTTTTTTTTTTAAGTGCGTTAAAAATAATTCTTTGTTTTAGGATCCAGATCTATATCACCAAGGCCACCAGCAAGTCCAGTCTAGTAAGTTTTCTTCTTTTTTTTCCCCTTCTTAATATTTCTGTACTTTGGAAGAACAAAAAGGACAGTGCCTATTTTCAAATTTTAAAAGTAAACCATTTGAGTTTCGATAAGTGTTTTGAATCATAGATTAGAAGTTTAAAGAACATTTTTCTGTTTCTTTTCTTACAGCACATATCATTAATAATGTTGTCGTAAGACCCTTTTTTAGTGTAATGCTAGAGTAAGATCTTGTTACAATGTTTAGTGGAAAAGACATTTATTCTTTGTGTAATAATGTTTATGATTTTCGTATAACTGTAACACTAATCTCAGATTGATTATATGCCATTGAGCCTCTTATTTCCAAAGCACTAATATTCTTTCAGATTACGTATTTATTGAAGATAACTGAATTTTAATTCAGTTGAAAAGAATTCTTTCAAAAATGTCTTCAGGGCATGTTTTGTTTTTGGTCAGAAATTATTAAAATTTTTAAATCATATGTTAGTTACAGGATTTTTTCTTATGGAATGGAAATAATACGAGTAATGTCTCAAAAGGCAACAACATTGTGAGTTTAAATACATTGATTTAAAAAAAAAAATCTGTGTATTTTTATTTCTGCAATGTTTTGAAAATGCATGTATTGGCATGAATTTTTATTCTCCATATTTTTAGTAAACATACACAGAATTTTTTAATTAATGATAATTGTGTATTGAACTTAATGAAGTTTATATAGTGGTTTATAATAATTTTAAATGCACAACTAAATGTGTTAAATTAAACACACATTCAAATGATTTGATCCCCTTACGGTGCTATGATTGGACCTCGGCGTGTGTACGGCTTCTCTTTCACAGGCTGCAAAGTGTCTGACAGGTACATAACGGAATAGCTCCTTTTTTTTAATGTACTAAGTTTAATCAATTTGAAGTTAGTAATTTTGAATATACTAACTCCATTTGCATTCAATAACTTGTTATGAATGAAACAAACTCTACTGATATTTCCAAATTCGCAAGCACCTATTGCTAAATTTATTGAAATTGTACATAAAATATGAAGAACTGTTATTTTTTCACTTATGTTCTCATGTTAGAAACATAGTCTATAAGGTATCTCTCCCGCCTTCTTAGCATGCCTTCGTAGTCTGGTGGTCTGCACGCTAGGCGCATATTCCCGAGGTCCGTGGTTCGATTACCGGGGAAGGCATTGCTCATTTTTCATCTCTCTGGCTTCCAATTAACCTAATGTCTCTACTGTGGCGCTCGAACTAAAAGGGTGTTGGATGATGATTCTTCACACCCAGGATTTGGCTATTGGGTCACCTAAAACCACAGTTGCCCTTTAGAAAGGGGAAGTATATAAGGTATTTCTCCCACTTTCTTCGCATGCCTTCGTGGTGTAGTGGTTTACATGCTGGGCACGTATTCCACAGGTCTGCGGTTCGATTCCCGGCGAAGGCATTGCTCATTTTTCACCTTTCGTGCTTCCGAAATAACCTAATGTCTCTACAAGTCTACTTAATAGCAGTGTTAAACTAAACTTTTTATTTAAAGCTATCCTGAATGCCCTAATGCCCGTAAAGGAAAAAATAGCTCTTAATTTGATAATATGTGATTTTTAAAATTTTTGTAATTGATTATAGTTCAACTTTTGATTGACATCAATTTCAAACGGAGATACTTTTATATATTTTGTGAGACGAACGTCAAATTGCTTCTTTATAAATACCAAGCTTTTTTCTTTAAAATCAGAAGAATCTAACACTAAAAAGCGCTAAATTTTGAAGTTGATATGATTTTTATACATCTACTGGATTGCTGTCTCTGATAAATTCCATTTCAGCATTTTGTGTATTTTGTCTATAATGTAAAAGCATCAAAATACGCAATCTACAGGCCTATGATTAAATTCATTTGTGTCCGACAACGCTGTGAAAATATGCGATACATTGAGACTTTAGCAATATATGTATTCCTCTTATATACGATATAGATATTGTCGGCATCCATCCATCCAGCATAATTCAGACGTTCTAAAGATTAAATTATTATCCTAGTAGCTGACGACCCCTGCTCCAGTCCATTAGCAGTACCTATGAAAATATTATTCCCAATTTCATGTCCCATGAAAACTAAAGAATCTTTTATGGTAAATTCATCATCTTCCTTAATTTGTGTAATGGCTAGATTATCAGACCTTACTTTAAGTCTGAAATACAGTTGCTGCATGACTTACTCATCACGCTTCGTTATTAGCTGAATTGTAGAATTTACAAAGCGGATAAATGTGTAGGTTATTCCTTGAGTTAATATTTGGATCTATATCAGTCCGTATCACACTAATGTATAATATATGACTGGCACTTGTGATAGATTTTCCACATACGTTGCAGTCTGTAATTCTGATCATGTGTCTTATTATAAGTTACTATGTCCGTATTTAAATTGTATTTTATTACTTCATGCTGCTACATTGCAGTTATCATTTAAAAGAAGTGTATTTTTGAATGAAAACTTGATATCCGTATTTTGTACTAATGTGGTTGATTTCTTTTTACCCTTTAGAACTGAAAATTTCATTTTAATTAGTCTATAATGTTAACTTGAAATGAATTTCAATGAGGAGCATTTCTTCATTTACATGAAATTTTGGGGCTTAATCAAAATAGGCTTTCATTGTTTCATCTCATTGAAATATATTTAAGTCTTTAAATTGTAGCCATATATGTTAAAACTTCATGTTATACTAAATTACAGGGTTAAACAGAAGTAAATGTTTCATATTTCAGCAGTCCTATCGTCAATGGTTCACCACCAAAACATGAGGGTCCAACATTCAACACAGGATTAAGGCCTCTGCAGAACAAAGTAAGCCACAATTAAGTATTAAAGTCATTTATTTGTCAGTCGTCAATGGATAATTTGATAACTTGTGTACTATTCGTACTACTATACTATTGTAATTCAACTGTTGTTGCTGTTACAAGTTAAGAGGAACACAGTGCTACTTGTAGCAAGAAAAACTAAGACCTAATTTATTTTATAAGAATTTGAGCTTCAAAACAGCTTGAAAAACACTATAATTGAAGCTACTAGAATAATTATGGAACACAGTCGACCGTTACATCTTTAGGACTTATACTGTTGTTACCGATTTTGAAAAGACAATCTTTGACCTTTTTTAAAAACATAAACAGTGTAGTAATCTCTAATATCCCGTCCGACCTTGAAATAACTCAGCATTTCAAAATAAACGTGTAAGTAAATAATTTCTGAACAGTATGACAAACATATGCAATAATATAATTAGAATTAATAAGTAGTTTTAATAAATTAAAGCTTGCATAAAACAACAGGTTCTCACTGGATAGGCAATGTACAGATTGTTGGAATACATTTTTAAAGGTATCAGCGTTCTCACGATCACCACACGAATTTTGCACCAGGACCAACTATTAAGTCTATTCGACAAAGAGGCGATTTGAAGGGGGGTAAACTATCTTCCTTCAACTATATAAGAGAGCCAACAGAAATGTTGTCTTTAATTGCCATTTAGCTCTTTGTTGCAGATGGTTCGCATTCTATCTTACTTGTTGGACATTTTTTATTCTTCTCTACGAACCGGTTAACCTATTATTTGGCCTGTCTAAAAGTTCTAATGCTGGAATGTCAACAAATGGCTGAGCGTTAAAGCCTCAGAATATCGAGATTAAAGGGGTAAGGGATCTCGAATTGAGAATGCCCTCAGTTGGAGCAGAAAATAAATAGCAGTTCTTCTGAAGTTAGCTTGATTCCTCAACTGCTCTTTTTAGATAGCGTCCGTAAGACATAACACCAACCTGCCAGCGCCCTTAAAAGTTTGGAGCTGTGGGCAGAAGAAATTTCCAAAGTACTTCCTTAGAAGCCCAAAAACCTGATAATTTGTCATCCGGAGTTTTTTTTTCCCCTTTCAGTGGCGGTCTCTAGCCGGTTATCGGCGTTGGCCGCTACTAAGGCCGGAAGCGCTGGCCTCTTTATTATGGAGACACCTAATAGGTGAACCACCGCTGCCTCCTATGATGAGACGCACAAATTACTTCCATGCTTTCTCCGAGATTTGAGATTGTCCGGATTCGAGAACGGATTTGTCATCAGAAGTTCTTACAAGATTTTACAAACGTTTCAATTTCACGTGAGCACCTTTAAAATTAGCTCGCTATCTGTGAAAATTACAGCACTTTTGCCTTGTCGTGCCAAATTCAAAGTTGCCATTAAAGCTTTGGTTGTTAGATCAGACGTTATCCCAAAATGTACTACTTTCGTAGATATACATATGAAAATTGGCGATATATGCTTTTTGTAACACACCCTTTCATTTCTCTTTGTACTGAACATAAAAGGGCCCACAAAAATCAATTATGGTGAAGGTAAAAGGGAAGCTCTGAGTAAGGAAGGTAACCCATTTATTTTGCGAAGCAACGATGGACTTTTCTCAGCGTCTACTGTATACATTCGTGAACTATCTGCCTTTCCAAATTTCTACCACCAAAAGATTTGACGTACACTGCTCAGAAGAGTTTGGAACCTAAGTGTAAGTACTTATTGCGATAATATTTCATAATAAATTTAATTAGTTTGTGCCCAGCTGTCAAAACGATGGGATACTTCTGATTGTAGAGTGCACAAAAAAAAAGGGGGGGACAGTTCTATATCTTACGTTCTACTGGGCCGATTGACGAAACTCAACTTGCGTTTTTCATGTCTCGAAAGCGCGACTTAGAATATGTATTAGATTTATATATAGCATAGTAAATAAATTATTATTAACTTACTTTGCAGCAATTGCGCAAGTAGTAGAATAACTGGATTTCGCACTAAGTGAATTTAAGATCATACAACATTGTTCTAATATAGATATTTTGACACAAAAATCGGACTTTTTCTGAAATGACATGCCATTTTTTATTCCCATATTTCGATTCTACGATTTAAATTATGCCAAACTGCCAAATTTTATAAAAATCGCACGAGTAGTTTTTAAAACATTAAGCTCTCAAAATTTTAGCTCCTCAATATTAATTGAATTTGGTGCATATTTTTCTCTCTTGCTTTATTAAACTTATTTCATTTTTTCTTTCACATTTCGAAATTTAGGTTCATTTGAAATAAAATTCGCCCATTTTTTATGATTTATTTTTTTAATTTGTATTTTTAAATAAGTTTTATAAGTTTTTCGAAAACAATTTTGAATTATAACCTACAAAATTTTGCCATCTTGTTAAAGTAGCTGTATTTCTAAGCATACCTGTAAAAAATTAGTTTTTTTATTCAAAATTTCCGAATATATAATTGAATTTATATATTGGCGCTTTTTGAAATTTGGAATATTTGTTTAAAGCGATAATAACATCAGATCTGGTTTTGGCACTTTGTTAAAAATACTTGAAAGAGAAACAAAGTCACCTTTTGTCCGCTCATGCACAATGTAAAAAGGGTAGTTACGAAGTGGCTTTTTTTTCCGGTTCTGCACAATGGAAAGGAAGGGGAAATAGGTTGCCATATATTAAGAAGTTCGCCAATAAATTATTCTTGGCGCAAACTGAAAAAGTACCCCAAGATAAATTTTCAATTCTCCTTAAATTTCGCACCAAATTTTACAATATTTAGGCATAATTTGAATTGTAGAATCGAAAGAGGAAAAAAATCGGAATATTTCAGAAAAAGTCCGACGATTTTATGTCAAAATACCTATGTTAGAACAATGCTGTGTATAAATCTAATATATATCCTAAGTCACGCTTTCGAGACATGAAAAACGCAATTTTAATTTCGTCAATCGGCCCTGTAGAACGGGAGATATAGAACTGCCTTTCCCACCCCCCACCCCACACACACACAGTGTACCTCAGATTTGACTGACTCAAACGGCCTCTAACACTAATGGCACCGTTTTTATCTAAAAAGAGATTAAGAAATCTTAAATTATATTTTGACACCACAAGTGTTCCTGTTCATATAATATTTTTAATTATATATATTTATGTTATTTGTATAATGTTTAATATTATCTATAATATATATGTAATATTTTAAACATATAAGTATCAGATATCTTAGATCTTCTGCGTATGGTATTTAAGATTAAAGTTTAATAAAAATTAATTTTAAATTTTGTTTAGTTTTGATTTCAAATCAGCTTAATGTGTTTTATGGTCTGTCAAAATAAACTTGAATCTTTTCAAATGAAATAATCTGCGCTGGAGGTCTAATGTGCTAATTTTCTTAAAAGAATTGTCATAAATATTATCATACATGATATTATTGTATAAGGCTACGAGTAATATATGTGTTAGTGTAATGATGTATTTCATTATTGCAGCCTCCTCTAAATCTGGAAAAATTAGAAAACAAGTCTTCCCTAACGCAGTCACTTCACATTGACACATACAATGAACCAATCCCGTAAGTATACTTCTATGCAGTATTGCAGTAGTATTGTTCCTTAAACAGTGTCATTATTAAGTTTTTAATGATGCTATTCATTGCTTATGAATTCTTATACATTGGGGGGGGGTGAATTGTCCTCCTCTTTAATGACAAATATCGAAGAAATCAAGAGTTGTTTTAATGGTATTACCGGAATTTTACTAATGTAATATTAACATAAATAACGCAAAGAACATATTGCATCTAAAACGCTTTATTGCACTTTAACCATTGGTCCTGGAAACCGTGGAATAATATCAAGGTCCAGGTAAATGAAATAGTTTATTGGGAAGTCAAAAGTGTATTTTAATGGATCATAACAAATTTTAATTTGAAAGAATTCGAATGAGGATGGAAACCATAAAATTTGGAAAGTTAATGGTATGCGTAAAAATGTTTCCTGTTTTGTCATTTGATTTAGTCGGTATCGAGTATTCGTTACCGACATAAAGAAATAGGTAGAAAGAGATACTTTCTTCTTGTCATTAAGAATGCTGGAGGCAAATATTGCTCTGCTGTGCAAAAGTTAACGATAGGATTGGATTTTGGCGTGTAACGTCATGCAACAGTGTTTCAGTTCGGTGCAAAGCATACCAGAGCATCATCGAAATACAAAACGCAAATCGAAATATAAAAATGTTAGTGAGACGAAAAGACAGACCAAGAAAAAAAAAACAAAAAAAACAAAAAAAAAAAAAAAAACCAGTGTGTGCAAAAGTGAGTTTCGAGCATGTGATATGTGGTAGACAAGAAAATTCTTACATTCAGTAGAAGATTTTACAGTTTAGTAGAAGACTTTTTATTGCAATGCAGGAGTTCCGTCTGATCTTGCCTAGCAGAATACGACATGTTGGCAGTTCGAATCCAGATAAGCACTTTTGTCAAAAATGTTTTTGTTTTTCTCTAAAAAGAATTTGAAGTCAGCTCTCATGAGAGTAGGATACAGGTCGTTATGATTGCAAAAGGTGGTGACTTTTCGTCTTAGGCCAACAAACAATTGTCTATAAGCATAGATGCTAATCCGAAACAGGCTGATACTTCTTCTGCGGAGGGAAACTTCCGTGTAGTAAGGGTATTTTACTACACTGAAACTTCGATGAATACGATATACTCAAATATATTGCGTAAAAGGTGCGTTACAGTTACAGATGCAAATATCCTTGGTTTTGGAAATAAATATACTGATGATGACATACTGATAGGACTCTCCAAAAAAACTGCAAAATACGTAAAAAATTGATCAAGTTAAAGAAATTCTGACTCAGAACTCATTTACTTTGTTAAATAATGCAGACACGGGCGTAATCTTAGAAGAACAGACCACCTACCTTTGGCTAGAACCCCTGGAACGCCGCTAATTATGATTAAATCTGATGATTATAGTTATAAGGATTTCCTAATCAATCTTACAAATACCATACATGCTAAATTTCTCGAGAAATTACACGGTGAATAGCTAAAAATTTTGTCATACCCCGAGAATAACTAGAACTATTTTGAGAACGACACATTAAACATTGTTTAGTCCAAGGCTGGGCATCTCGTATATCAAGATGCTCTGTGTAAATCTGCATTGAATATGAAACACGTGCTTGATGCAGTCGTGAAGCTTGTAAATACTATTCGATCTCGTGGACTTACACACAGGCAATTTCGAGATTTTCTTCAGTCCGCGCAATCTGAATACTCTTATCTGTTACATGAAAGTAAGATGGCTTGGTGGAGGAAAGTCTGGCAGCTGAACGACGACATTGTGTCATTCTCCATGAGAAGCAGTATTCCGCGGAGTGCGAAATGTTAGAAGATACAGACTGGCTTTCGACCTTTGCATTTTACACACATCTTCTTTGTCATATGAGCAACTTGAATGTCAAGATGCAAAGCAAAAATCAATTTATCGACGATATCTGGGCCCATCTCAAAGCTTTTAAACTAAAATTTAATTTGTTTGGCTGGGCAGCTAGCTAAGAACGACTGGTCTCATTTCCCGAGGTTAAATTCAATACCCTCAGCAAATGAAGAAAGGTTAAGAATTATTAAGTTTAAAAAAAACTGCATTTTGAGTTCGAAAGCAGATTTCAAGATTTCAATGCCATTCAAACAGATTTGGATATTTTTACCATGCCTTTCAATGTAAATTGTGAAGCAGTGAGGTCAGATTTTCGGCTTGAATTCATTGAGTTGCAATCTAACAATCATCTTAAGCAGTTGTTTCTATATATGCGAAAGTTAGTTTTGCAAATCATTATCGAAAGTAAGTTTCCCAAATTTAATATCTCACGCCCAGAAAATCAGTGCTATGTTTGCTTCATCTTATATATGTGAACAAGTGTTTTCAATTATGAACCTTAGAAAGAAATATTTCAGAAGCAGACTGACAGATGAGCATTTAGCCTCGTTCCTTAGAATCAGTACATCTCACTTCGAACTCCAATATCAGAAACTTTTAAATATGAAATCACAGTTTCATTGATCTCATTAACACATTTAAATTGTAATACTCGTATATTGTTTTAAAATTTTAGAAAAATTTATCTTGCCCCCCCCCACCAAATTTTTTTTTTTTTTTCGATTTTTGGCCCGCGACCGAAAATGTTTGCCCATCTCTGGTTTAGTCAGTATTAAGACTATTAGATCCATGGAGGTGGTACTTGGTGGCCCCCTTATCAAAATAAAGATAAAATTGATGCAGCATTTACGGGAAAGGATTTACACTCCAAAAAATACAGTTACCTTGAATAAAAAGTGAAGCACCGATCTCACTATTTCTGGCAAATATTATGTAAAATGGCAACGCGGAAAATATATATGATTCTCATCCGCTTGTTTATCACTATTGAGAAATTTATATCTAAAAATCAAATGCTGCAGTGCTGTAATCCCAGAAAACCATCAGTCATCGAAAAATTGCCGCGTCAACCAAGAAAAGTGGAATGACCTTGTTAGGGCATGTTCTACTGCACATGCCCTAACAAGGATAGAATGGAAGAGCCTAAATGTGCAAATTGCCATGCCACAAGACGTCCTGCGTTTTACCATAAGTGCCCAAAATTTCCCACTAAAATTAATTATCAGAAAAAAGTTAATTTTTTTCGAACCAGGAGTTTGTTACTCGCAAATGACTGAGAACCAGCCTTGGTAAACTAGTACTGAATACGGCTCAACGGAAGACAAACCTGAGGCTACTGGCTGCACAGAGCGCAAATGATAATAAGAGTCCCAACTATTGCTAAATCCTAGGCCAAAACTAACAATCAAGAGCCAAATTTCTGAACTCGTGGAATTTTTCACTTATTTCACTTAACGAAATTTATGAAATTTTTGGAAATCATGAACTTACAGTAAGGAATATTGTATTTAAAAAGTATATGATTAAGTTAAAAACGTGCGAAAATTCAATAAATAAAAGGTACACCTTTTTCGAAATCATCACTGAAATTAACAGTGACTTTCAGGCGTAACCTAGAGCTTAAATGCAAAGAACTTAGTTGGAGGATTAACCTTTCAGGCGAAGACCTGGAGCTTAGCTGTATCCAATTGTTATATTAAATAATTATCCTGAAGTGATATTTCATGAACTATAATGGTAAAAGATATAATTTCAATATTTATTTACAGTTACCGTTCCTTGTACTCTTATAAACCTCAAAATGATGACGAATTGGAACTTAAAGAAGGTGACACTGTATATGTCATGGAAAAATGCGATGATGGTTGGTATGTGGGTACTTCGTTGAGAACTGGTCTGTTTGGCACTTTCCCTGGAAATTATGTTGAAAGGATTTAAGCCATCTTTTACTTGTAAGTATAGAAATTTATAACTTTGGACATGATTGGTTATAAAAACTACTTTGTAAGATCTATCTCTACTTTTCCCATACACTAACTTAGATCCTACAATAAATCTCGCGAATTCTCACACAGGCATGAATTAAATACCAGCACAGAAGTAGGGTTCAAAATAACCCTTTATTTAATCAAACTAATTTAACAGAAAGCACGGACTAATTGAACAGAAAGCACGTGCGTTACAAAACACCGTTCACTTGCGGCGGTAACTTAATGTAGCCTATAATACAAATCAAATCTGAAAAATAATGAGTGCAAGAATGCATTTCAAAATTGCTCCTAAGAGATGGACTCACAGAAATCTAACCGGCGTGATACTAAACTGATAAGGCCAAGAGGCTTACTAGAGTGACCGCGAAATTACAACGAAACGTGCGCTAGGCTAGCGAAACACGCTCTGAATAAACTGAGATAATCACACGTTTAAATAGCACTTCACTTAACTTTAAATTTACATCCTGGTGAGAGAATGTGAGGGGAAGTTGAGAATAGGAAAACTTAAAATAAATTTGTTATGCAAAATAAGGAAAAGCCTACAATTTCCCTCGCCAGAATTTAACTATCGCATAACAAAGCTTTAAAAGCCTGGATAAGATAGCTAAATTCTAAATCGACCTGTGAGTTTACCTTTACAATCTATATCTTAACTAAATTTAATGGTTTTCGCAGATGGAGAAATGTGGCACATAATTACAATATCTTCTCTCTTTAGCAATTCTTGATCTGTCTCCTACCAGGTAGTTTATACGTGCTTACATATATCCTACACTTGCCACACTTTTAGTATATATATATTTTAACAGTTCAACCTTTTCTACATTTACTCAATTCAATCTTTCTAAATAACATTGAAACTCCCCCTTGCTCTCCAGCATAGTGTACCGAAAAATGCGAGCGTGCTTTATGTAAAATGTACAACACTTACCGACTATCCCACATTTACATGTTAGAATTAAACCAACCAGACCTAGACAGACACCTTACAATCAAATCTCAGCCTGAGGTGCTAACGCTAGTGAAAATTAACTTAGTGTTGTCTGGAGAGCCTAACTTTTTAATTTACATTCATTCTCAAGTTATCTTAACGTCTTTTTAGTACTTATCATCAGTAACATAGACTAACTCCTTCATTCGAAACACAATTTCAAGCATACAAAATACTTTAAGTAATTCAGACATATCAATTTCTTACTTTACTCTGCTCAAAAATAAACATAGATTAACTAACTACATGCACGAATTTCTAACACTTTGAGTAACGAAGTTCGTTTTCTTGATACCATACAAACATTTTCGTACCAAAGTCTCTACGACCAAAGTTAACATTTCATTCTAACATGGCGAAGATTATTTGCCTTACTTTCTTACAGCTTTCTTACTTTTTATAAACATTTAAAGCTATTTGCTTAATAGAACAATTTTAAATTACTTGTATAATAACAATAATGCAAAAACAATTCTTTTTAGCTTTTTTTTTTTTTTTTTTTTCAAACGCAAAATTGTAAACTTTATGCTAAATACAAAATTGTAATCTGTAAAAATGTATTTTTGCTAATACAAAAATTAAAGCTTTTGCTGAATACAAAATTGTAAGCTTTTTGCTAAATACAAAATTATAAGCTTTTTGCTAAATACAAAATTGTAAGCTTTTTACTAAATTAAACAAATCTTGTCCTCTTCCCGAGGCAAAACTGACAAATATTTTCAACCAACTTCGAACTAGATTTTAAAATAAATTTAAATAGAATAATTTTGACTTATCTTTTGTTTGGCGTACTCTGTCATTCTCTTTTTGACGAAGTCTTCCCACAATAGAACTTGATTCAAGCGTCTTCTTCTGGTCCTCTGGCGACTCTGACCGTTTCTATTGCTCTCCGTTGCCGGCCGTTTTCTTTTGATGCCTTGGTCCCACGCTGGTTTCTTTCGGCTATGTTCTACTTCTGCGTGCGCTGGACGTTTTCCGGTTGTAGCCGAGTAACCTCCTTGGACTGGCCGGGGAATTTTTCGCTGGACCTCCGTAGGCTCTCCTCCGTTTCTTAGGTTTCCTTCTGTTCAACGGCTCCTCGTCTAATAGACGTTTCCTATGTGGAACTTGAGGTGCTTTAGTCTTGACTTCTTTTCCTTAGTGGCTGACGTCGTAAGTTCTGATGTCTCAAATGCTGTTTCCTCTCCATTTGCCTGCTTGTCGATCTTGTGCGGGGTCTAGTCTCCCCTTCCTTTCTCAGGACCTTATTTCTTTTATAGGGCTTTTCTGCTTTGCGTTTTTTCAAACATTTAGGCTCTTGAAGTCGACGCTTCTTTCCATCCGGCTCCAAGACTCCGTCTTCATTCCTTTTGATTCCTGGAAGAAAGACGATTTGTGCTGTTGAGGGCCCTTCTATGTTTGAAGTTTCTTGAAAAAGATCTTTAAAAATAGGCATGTCGTTACGATCATAGTATTTTTTCACTTGATCTACATTGGCAGTGATCTTGTCCTCTTTGCTTCCTTTTAAATATAAAACTCATCCACAAATACGTTGAATCGCATAGGGGCCTTCATATCTAGGGAAAAATTTTGACACTTTTCGAATGGGGCGCAAGACAATGCATGTTTTCTTTTCAGTACTTTATCCCCAGGTTTAAAATTAAACTCTCTTCTTTTCGTATTACAGTAGAGCGACTGTTTTTCTCTAGCTTCATCTGAATTTTTGATTAATTAATTTTTGGATGTCTTTTTGTTTAAATTCTGCCTCCCTTTTCTGGACAAAAAATAATTTATCTAAAGGGGTAATTATCTTCCTCTCCAGAAAGAGTTCACAAGGGGCCTTTCCCGTGGTATCATGCTTGGCCGTTCTGAGAGCATACGCCAATTCATCTACAGAGTCATCCCAGCGTCGGTAATACGTTTTTACATAGCTCCGAATGATTTTAACTATGTTTCTGTTTACGCGCTCGGCAATATTTGACTGCGGTCTGTACGGGATCATCTTAAGGTGGCGAATGCCAAGCCCTGCACATAGCTCCTCGAAAATTTGACTAATAAATTGGGGGCCGTTATCTGATATTACCCTAAGTGGTGCACCATATTATAAAATGTATTTATTTAGAAAAAAATCGGCTACAATTTTCGCTGAGGCTCTTTTAAGGGGGACTATTTCTAACCATTTTTGAGAAATGGTCTACTATCACTAGTAAATATCTATTTCTATTACTTTCACTTTTTGGAAATGGGCCCAGTAGATCTATTCCAATTAACTCATTAGTAAAAGTAGCTCTTATACTATTTAGATACTCGGCCGGGCTATAATTTACATCGTTAACTAACTGACATGTATGGCAAGACCTGACATATTCGGTTACCACTCTTTGAAGTTGCGGGAAAAAACCGCTTCGCGCACTGTTTGTACTATTTTTCGAATACCCTTGGTGTCCAGCTGTAACCGTGTCATGCAATTCCTTTAAAATACTGAGTCGAAACCCGGCTGGAATGACTGGCCTTATTTTACTATTTTCATTTGTTGTTTTAGTATAAAATAATAATTTATCGATTATTTCATAGTTTGCTGCTCTATTCCTTATAGCCGCTGTATCCGGATGTTCGACATTATCCGGGTCTTGCAAGTATGCATAAATATGCCTATATTCTGGATCCTTTTTTAACTCGAAAATAATTGTTTTCCTGGAATCTAATACTTTTAATGGAGCATTTTATTTGTTTTCCTTCTTCGTCCAATTTTATTCGAGGTAATGCGTCTGCCGCGATATTTTCCTTTCCCGGTATGTGTTTAACTATTAAGTTGAATTCTTGCAACTTTAATGCACATCTTATGAGTCGTGGACTTAAGTTTTTGCCGGAGTATAATCGTCCCACGGCGGCGTGATCTGAATACACGACTATCAGTGCCTTACCGAAATAAACTCTGAATTTCTGTACGGCTAAACGTACAGCCAAAGTTTCTCTTTCCGTTGCAGTATAATTTCTTTGACTCAGTGTTTTTGAAAAATACGCCACGGGCTGCTTATTCTGTGCCAAAATAGCGTAATCTGAAGCATCAGCCGAAATTTCGAAATTTTCAGCCCCCTCCGGGAATTTTAAGACCAACGCTTGAATTAGCGTAGCTTTTAGTCTTTCAAACGCATTGTTTGCCTCCGCTGACCACGAAAATCTGTTTTTTTTCCTTTTCAATTGTACGAGCCGTTCCGCTATTTGTGGGAAATCATTTATAAATGTTCTATAATAGCTACACATGCTTAAGAAAGAAGAGAGCTTTTTGGCAGTGTTGGGCGGTGGATAATTCTTTATCGCAGTTACTTTCGAGTCTTGAATTTCAATTCCGCGTTTTGAAATCTTGTATCCTAAGTATTTTAATTCTTCTGCCGCGAACGTACATTTACTCGCATTTATTTTTAGGCCTGCGTCTCTTAATAATGTAAAAACTTCGTTCAAATCTTTTACGTGTTCGTCAATATTTTCACTTGAAACAATTATATCGTCGAGATAAGTAAACGTTGATTTCCCGAGGATTAGGTCTTAATATAATGTCCATGGTGTGTTGGAAAGTCGCCGGGGCTCCACATACGCCAAAAGGCATTCTCAGGAAAGCATAAGTTCCTAATTTCGTGATAAAAGCTGTTGTAGGCACATCCTCTGGTTTCATAGCTATTTGAAAATACCCTGATGTAAGGTCTATGGTGATCATGTATTTGGTGGACCTAATGTTAAATTTGAAGGAGGCAGATCATTTTGCTTTCTACACAGCACGACGGGACTCGCAAAAGGGGTGCCTATTGGCTTGATTATTTTATTTTCGAGTATGTGCTGAATATGCTCCTCAATGATCTTTTCCTTAACGCGAACTGTATGGCCTTAACTTAACTGTATGGCCTGGCTTTCACGGGCTACTCACTTTTTAACTTAATTTCATGCTGAACTATCTGAGTGAGGCCAGGCGTTTCAGAAAATAAATCAAAAA